GACCAGTACTTATAGAAGATCAAACTCCTTGTTGTGAAGTATTTTCTCAGCTACCTTATATAAAGCATTTAAAACTCTGCTGCTAACCCAGACATTACCCTAGAGTATTTGTAGTTGGGGTTGAAATAAGGTAAAACAAGTCAGAGGAAACCCAAAAAAAAAAAAAAAGGAAAAAGAAAGGGAAGTGGATAATGGGTTCCAAGTAGGTATTTAAGGAAGATGGATTTTAGAGAAAAATTTTAAACCAAAAAGAATATCGCAAATTACAAAAGCTGAAAGAATAGTAGAATGAAATAAAAGCTAAAGTAAATAACTAAAGAATAGTTAAAATAGGATTCTAAAAGACAAAGCTCAAATACTAAAAGCTAAAGGAAAGAGAAAGTAAATTGCAGTTGGTTTGCAAAAAGAAATAGTAGATTGATAAAGATGAAGCTTGAAGTTAAGGATTGGATGTGCTAAATTTGGGGACAATTTTATTGGAGTTTGTAAGACACATGTGCATACATTTGACAAATAGAGGCATTTTCAATAAACAAACGCCTTCAATAATCCCCGTAATATTTTTGGACCGGATTATTGAAGGTATTGTTTAAGAAAAACGCCTTCAATAATTTTTTCTTAAAATTTTTTTTTGAATTATTAAAGGCATCTTTTAGTAAAAATACCTTCAATAATCTGTTATTGAAAGCATTTTTGACAGAAAAACACATTCACTTATTTTTTATCACTGAAGGCACTTTTTTACCAAAAACGCCTTTGATACTCATCATAAATTTTGACTACAAGATTATTATAGGTGTTTTTTACTACAAACGCATTCACTAATTGCCTCAAATTTTTAATAGCTTATTTATTGAAGGCATTTTTTGCATAATACGTCTTCAATAATCCCCTTAAATTTTAACGAGATGATTTTTTGAAGGCGTTTTTAGTCATTTTCAAAATTATATGAGGCTTTTTTTTATATATAAAACGCCTTTAATAATCCTCAATGTTTGTGGATAGGATTATTAAAGGTATTTTGGCATAAAATACCTTTAATAAATAAGGTATTGAAAAAATATACTAGATTATTGAAGCATATTCTAAAAAAAATATATCTTCAATAAATTCTTTTTAAAAAATTTTTAGGATTATTAAAGGCTTCTTTTAGTAAAAAATGCTTTCAATAATCTCGTAGTAAAATTTTAAAAAGATTATTGAAAGCATTTTTTACTACAAATGCATTCACTACTTCTCTCAAATTTTTTAAAGGAATTTATTAAATGAGTTTTTTTACATAATACGCCTTTAATAATCCCTTCCTTTTTATCAGAGCAATATCAGTGAAGGTAATTTTTTACCAAAAACGTCTTCAATAATCTACTTTAACTTTTTAAAGAAATTTATTGAAGGTATTTTTTTGCATAATACGCCTTCAATAATCCCCTTAAATTTTAATGAGGAGATTTTTGAAAGCATTTTTGACTAAAAATTCTTCAATAATCTCATCTTCAAAATTTTTAAAGGAAATTATTTAAGGTATTTTTTTATAAAATGCCTTTAATAATCCTTGTAATGTTTTTTGGTAGAATTATTGAAGACGTTTTTGGCATAAAATGCCTCCAATAAACAAGGTATTGAAAAAATGGGCCAGATTATTAAAGACGTTTTAAAAAAATTACCTTTAATAAATTTCTTTCAAAAATTTTTTAGGATATTAAAGGTGTCTTTTAGTAAAAAAAATACCTTTAATAATCTCGTAGTAAAATTTTAATTGAATTACTGAAGGTATTTTTAACTACTAATGCCTTCACTAATTCCCTTAAATTTTTTGAAAGAATTTATTAAAAGCATTTTTTGCATAATACGCCTTCAATAATCCCTTCCATTTTTATCAGGAGAATATTAGTGAAGGTAATTTTCTACTAAAAACACATTCAATAATTCACTCTAATTTTTTAGAAAAATTTATTAAAGGCATTTTTTACATCATATGCCTTCAATAATCCCCTTAGATTTTAACAAAAAGAATTTTGAAGGCGTTTTTGACTAACAACGCCTTCAATAATATTCTTTTCAAAAATTTTAAAAAAATTATTTGAGGTATTTTTTTATAAATTGCATTCAATAATCCTCCTAATATAAATTTTGAAGGCCTTTTTTACTAACAACGCCTTCAATAATCTTCTCTTCAAAATTTTTTAAAAAAATTATTTGAGGTGTTTTTTTATAAACTGCATTCAATAATCCTCCTAATATTTTTGTACAAAATTATTGAAGGTATTTTTTTATAAAATACCTTCAATAATTTTCTCAATATTTTTGTACAGAATTATTGAAGGTGTTTTTTTTTAAAAAAAATACCTTCAATAATTTTTTTTAAAAATTTTTTAGAATTATTAAGAGCATCTTTTAGTAAAAACGCCTTCAATAAGCTCGAAGTCAAATTTTAAGGGGATTATTGAAGGCGTTCTTGCTAAAAAAGTGTCTTCACTTATAATTTTTGTATTCATTTCTCTATCTTAAACTTCAGAATCACAAGCTACTAGTATAGAGAATGGTTAAATTTTGCATTAATCAACCAAACCAAACCCCATAAACATTTTTAGTTTGATTTTGGATTTTTTTATCTCTATCGTCGTCACCAACTTTCAACAACTCAACACTGCGCACCTCTCTGTTTATCGATATGTTCTTATTTTTTATTTATTGTATAATTTATATTCTTCAGTAAAGGTATATTTTTCGATTCTTTACTATTTACATCTGCATATATATTTTTATTCATTTCATCATAACCTTAGTCGTTTAAGCACCTTTCATTGCATGTATGGTGTTTTTGTGTAGTTTGGTTTAATATTATGGTTTGCTGAATAGTATTATATGATATTATTTTGCTGAATGGCATTGTATGATATTCGCTTACTGAATAGTTTGCTAAATGGTTTACTGAATGGTGTTTCTGAATGGTTTGCTGAATGGTGTTTCTGAATACATTGCTGATTGGTTTGCTGAATGGTGTTTTTGTACATAGTATATTATTGGTTGTATTTTATTGTACATAGTATGTTATTGGTTGTATTTTATTACATATAGTGTTAAATTTAGACAGTTAGTTTGGTGTATTTCGTATAATTTGATCAAAATCGTAGGTATTATGAACTTCGAACAACATACTTCTTCTTCTACTAAACATGCATAAAACAAACCTATAGGCCAAAAAAGAAAAATAAAAGGATGAAATAAATAAATTAAAGTAACTGACACAAAAATTCACTTACACTTCAACCAAAATGAGGCAGTCTATGTCTGATAAAGCTATCAAGTTGGCTATTCATATTGGTGCCGTCATTCATATTTGCATTTCAATTACATACACCAATTGACGATGAATTTTTGATGATCTAAATGATGGTATATGGCAGTTGGTTATGGTATGTTAATTCAACTATTTCATAAAATTTGTTAAATGATCATTTAATTGAAATTCAATGTGTTCATACAAATTGTGTTAAATTATTAGGAACGATTCGACATCTCAATTGACTGTAAAAAAACTTGTGTTGCAATCTACTGTAAAAGCATTCAAAGACTTTAAAAGCATATTGACAACTCAATATATTTTACCACTTGCTGATCAAAGTAATGTGTTGGCTATTCCACATATGTCATATGCAAATGTTATAAATGTTTAAAATTGGAGAAATTTTGTTTGAGATCAACTATTAGAAGATTTCTCAGTATGTAAACCCATTATCAAAAAAATTATTTATAAGATTTTATGCAATATATTCAAAATGTTTATATGTGATTTACATAATTTCTTTCTTTTATAGAAAATCAAAGAAAACCAAAAGAACATTCAGGCTAAACAAATATATCACCATCAAACTAAAAGAAAGGGATATGCAAATGTCAAGTATAAGCTTGTAAGTATTCACACATTTGTTTTATACTCATAAATGAATATTTATGAACATTCATTTCAAAATCATTTCATAGATTCTGATTCTTATATTGCAATAATTTATTAGGAATCAACGAGCTCTAGCACCAAAGTTTTTAGATGGGATGTTTGGAAACAAGCACATCTGCGGAATGATGGATTTTTTACAGATGAAGCAATCAAAAAATTGGCTAAAAAGATTATATATATAATTGCTTATTAAATCATGTATGATTGGCATTATGGTTGTTTGCATAACTCTATAGTAGCTTATATAGATTTGTTATTACAGGCCATCTTATTATTGTCTTTCAAGATAATTATGATGTCAAAGTTAAATCTAGTGAACTGGCAATCCAGTATAGTGAAGATCCATTTTCTTAGCATTAGGAGCTAAAGAAAGGCCTGATCAAATTCGTGGGGTTGGTAAATTTATGTTGCCATCAAAGTTTTTTAATAATCAACATAAAACCCCTCGAATGATAAATGCACAATATAAAGCAATCATTGAGCAACAACAGCAACAACTTGATAACCATGAGCAACGCCTCAATAAGCAATAGTAAAGACTCACTACTTTAGAGGCTATATTGGCAACAATGCAGCATAGCATGCCTGTAGGCCAATCGAATAGCATCATCCACCTAGGACAAGCTTCTGTTGCAAGTCAAGTAGGGAACCCAACCCCCACTACCAGCCATGAAGTATGATTTTATTTATAAGTTTAATATTAATTTGTTTATTATATTTATTGATTTGTTTATAACTCAATATTATATTAGCCACAGATCTCCAGAAAGAGGCTTCAGGAAAATCCACATATTGTTTTTGCTGGCTTTTGGCGCTACCATTCTAATGCCCATGTCAGTGTATGGCAATGTGAAATCAACATATGAAAATCTGCTGGCAATGATTGTTGTATCTCCCACAACAGCATCATAATTCTACTCCATTGATCACAATAAAGAATATGTAAATCACACACTGCAATTACAATATATTAGAATTTGAAAAAAAAAAAAAGGTTAATTTCTCCGTCTCATAACTACAAAGTCTAGTGTGCAACCTGCTATTTTCTAGAAAGGCATTCTTACCTTGAGACAAACCTGACGGATAAGATCATTGTAAGATCCAACCATTTGTCCCCTAGCATTTACAAATGGGATAAACTCATAGTTTACTTCATAATCTAAGGTTTCAATGGCTGCCTTAAACACCTCTGAACAGAAATCACTTACAGTTGTTTCATTTGTTTGGGGATCAACAATCACATTAATTAATTCGCTGAATTCATCGTTCATCGGAACCCCAATCCTCAACCTCTTACCATATAAAGACCAACCTTTTGGAATGCTCTTCCTTCCTCCCAGCCAAATAACAATTTCAAGTTTACTAGATGATGTCGAATTTAACTCATCGCGGTTGTCTTGCTTCGTTATTGGGGTAATTCCATTTTCTGGAGTCCAGTAACCAACTATTCTTTCTCCCTTGAATACATTTACTATCTCAAATTCCTTTGGGACCAGTCTGCCATTAGTAAGTTGAAAGCCACCACTCATACCCTTGAATCTACTCTGTAGTATCTCATTAATAAATACCGAAACACTTTGTGAGGAAAGGATGGCAGTGAAGTTCATATTCAATCTGGTTTCTTGGTGTATGATATCAGCATGCCCAGTCTTTACCCTCTCTGCTGCTGTTGCCAGAGCCCAAACCATATCATAGTTCCATATACCATAGATATTTAGTTCCATTTCCTGTAAATTTTGAGTTTCAACAAAATTTTTGCTCCTCCATCTTAAAGTGAATTTGTGAAGTGCCTTTGATGCTGGAATATAAGGCTTGAAACCCACCACCCCTTGCATTGACTCAATGACTGATGGTTCCATTGAATGCAAGAAATTCATAATCATATCAGTTGTAATCCAAGCATACCCTTGGCTTATCATTCCAAGCTGTTTGGCATTTAAGAAAAGGCGAGATGCAAGAGAGGGTGACATGTGCACCACATATACAGTTGTCTGCAAACTCATGAGCTTCTTGAGCTGCTCAATGATTTCTTCATCGGTAGTTGATGCTAAAATTGCAATATGCTGGGCAAGACGAACATCGGTTCCTTCAAGGGAAGTGATCACTTTACAAAGGATTCCTCTTGCAGAATCATTATCTTCATAAATGAGGATTATATTTTTCCAACTGAAAGCTTCAAAAATGGTAACAATGCCTTTGGCTTGAGAGGATTCATCTTGACCAATTTTAATTAAATAAGGATACTCAGAAAACGACAGGGGTGGCCCAGCTGCAAAGAGAGAAATAATTGGAATTTTCGCTCTGGATCCTATCTCTGCTAAAATCTTCACTCCATCTAAATTTTCTGCAATAATAATGGCCTGCAATTTGACATTTTCCAAGAGAACCAAGGCTGCACTTGAATATGTGTAGATGCCACCAAAAAAGGGAAAAAAATCAGTGTGTCATCAATTTCCACTCGTTCATTTTCAGGATAGGAAATGGTTTAACGAAAGGAGAAAAAAGTGTATATTTGAGGGAAGACAACTTACACGAAGTTCTTTTAAGTGAAATTTGTTAAATTATTTAATAAAAACTTTAATAAAAATTTCAAATAGCGTTTAATGTAAAAATCAATAATTTATAAAAATTCAAATTTAATTGATACTTATTTAACGATTTTTATTAAAAGTGTATATATCAAAATATATATCAAAATTTACTAAATTTTTTTAAATTTTTTATACTTGATCTGTATAATGAGACTTTTTAATTTATCGATTTTAATTTTTAATTTTAATTATTATTTAATCATTTTTAATTGAAAATTTTACGAACTTCGTTTAAAAACTTCCATCTAAGTCTTTCCCTTACCCTGCCATAACAGAAAATAATATGGCATTTATAGAAAATTTTTCATTAGGAAAGGCAAAAACATACCTTGGGATAGAACAAGCAACGGATCACCCTCAGAATCTCTGGTGTGCAGAACTAGTCTTGTCTCATAGAGACTATTTAGACTGTAAAAATCAGATATAGCCATGGAAATGCAGCTATCAACAATTTTTCCCACCCAGGATTGCATATCAAGAATCACCCCGACATGAATCCTTTCTATCGTAGTAGTAGCATTGATGCTGTTGAGATTGGATAACGATGGATGTAGAAGGCTAAAGAATGTAGTAATTAAAACGAAGGAGCACTTCTTTCCTGTTAAATCCATTTAGCTAAAAAGCTATTTTCTGAAACTTTTAGTTAGCAGCAAGTACTTCATTCCATCCTCTATATATGTGTTGGAGAATATATATGAGATTGACTTGAGGCCGAGAGACTTTTCCAGTATGCAAAAAAGATAAAGTCTGATCCATATAGGTAGACTTGAAACTTCTAACAATTGGAAGTAATTAATCGGGGTGGGGCCATAAAATTTGACTTGGCTGGGTGGAAAGAAACCCGTATTAATCTATCTGAAGAGAGAGAATTTCTTGAACATTCAGCTCTTTGAATTGTCGAAGGAAACAAGTTCCTCAAATATTTCGATTCCATTCCTCCCCTGTTCTCACACAAATAAATGCCTACTCCATGCAATTTGAAAAAAAGAAAAAAAGACAGAGAAACTCTGGTATAGACTGCAAGAAGTAAATAATTCAAAGACAAAAGAGTTTAGAATTCTCAAGAGTTTACTTTCAACATACATCCCCATAAATTAGAAAAGTTAGCTTCTGTCAAAGCGCTCTCCGGTCTTGTTGGAAGCTCGACGCTCATGGTCAGACTTGGTAGCTTTCAGTAAATGCTTCATTTTGCTTCAATAAAGTAGAAACTGTAGCATTTTTTACATGGCTTTTAAGTTTGCAAGACGGAGTGGCTAAGGCTCCATCAAAATAACGTTAGAAGCTACCGTCCGCAATGTGGCCAATGTGTTGCTTTGGGTGCTAATCGCGGGGCCAATCTATTGAAGTTTTGATTTGCTCTTTAAAGCAATGAAAAGAACTTGTGACACTTTGCACGATCATTAAAGTAAAATTAAAGGCCTAGGTATCAAATATCAATAATTGATCCTAGCATCTTACTACTCACAAAACAGTCGAAACAACTAAATCATGGAGAGGTATAATGGGATTTTTTATTATTATTAATTAGGTTTCAAGCTGGCAGCTTCACTTGCGAGAATAAAATATAATTATTTATTAGTTAAAATATTTAAAAAATATATAATAAAAAAAAAAAAAATTTTTTAGATTTCATTAGTTTAGACCGTAAGATATCAAAAAGTTAAAACCATAATACAACCATAACAGACATAAATTATATTTAAGATGAGCCATATGTGATATACAATATTGTCTACTCAGATGCCTGATCATGAAGATATTTGACTGGCATAAGAAGAAAAGGCGTCTTTTTCAAAAGGGTAAGGCAATGCCCAACCAACTCTTTGCTGTTAATTCTTTGAAAAGAAACTCTAACATGTGCGCTTAATTCCAGTAATTACATATAAGTTACTAAATATTTTCGAATTTATATTGTTGATGATTCATGACCGACATAATTATCTTTTACCAATTTGTGTATGAAACTTATCATAATTCCTTTATATACTAGATTATGAATTTTTGTGAAAAAAAAATATATATTTCCCTGAGGAAAGGAATTAATTCGTAATAATGGGTGAAAAAGGAAATGAAAAGGTTGGAATTAGCAGAAAGCAAAAGAATATAAGAAAAGCTTGCCGGCAGATAAAGCAAGCAGAGGGTCCCCTTTGGAGTCTTTCATGTGGACAACTATCCTCACTTGATAGTCCGAATGTAAGCTATAAAAATCGAAAATCGCCATGGAAACGCAGCTGTGGATAGTCTTCCCCTCCCTTGTTCCCATATCAAGGATAACTCCAACATGAAACTCGTCCAGCAGGCCAACACCATTTTGGTTCCTGCTCAATTCAGCTGGGTTACATAGTTTACTGATAAGGCTAAAGTAGGCTGCAAATAAGAGCAAGATTTGATTCTTTTTCTTCATCTTCATGTGGCCAAATGCTGTTTCCTTGTTTGTATACTTTGTATAGCAAGTTGTCTTATGTTTGCCAGAAAATATTGTTTTCCTCTATGCAAATACTAAATCTGAATAACATCCCCACCTCTTATACGTTATTAGCGGCCCATCTTAATTTGTCTCAGTGGTAAATTGTTTCTATATTCTAATGTTTCAGTCTTCCCCGTTAAGTGGAAAAAAAATGAGGAAGTAATTCATGTACAAGATATGATTTTTGGAATTTATATTTTGATATATTGTTAGTATGGGAAAGACATAAATAAAGCTTTTTAGGTGAAGTTCTCTATTACAAAAGATTAAATAAAAATTAAAATATTTTATTACATAGATTAAATATGTAAAAAAAATTTTAAAAATTTAATAAATATTTATATATGTTTTTAAATAAACATTTTTACTATGTTAATATAAATTTTACTGTTGAATAAATATTGATCAAATTTAAATTATAAATAATATTTTAAATATTTTTTTATATACTATTGATCTTCACATTAAACTCTCTATTCAATCTATCAATTTGAAATTTTTTATTAAAGTTTTTATTAAATTATTTTTTAAAAAAAATTTTACAAACTTCACCTAAAAAATGTCATGCATGCTTTGTCCTATTAATGTATAAATTTTATATATTATTTTATAAATTAAATGATAACATTACATTAATGAGCAAATATTACTTTTTAAAATAGATATAAGAATTAATATTTTTTAAAAATTTACTCATTAATGAACTAATATTATCTTATTTACTTTATTAATAAAATGATATAATCTAATTCATTAATAATATATAAAATTTATATATTGATAAAACATTAAATATAAACTCAACATTTTATGCCATTAAAGTTTGAAGCCACAAAATTAATGATTTTTTTATTTTTTAAGAATAAAAATTTTTTTATTAATGAGCAAATATTACTTTTTAAAATAGATATAAGAATTAATATTTTTTAAAAATTTACTCATTAATGAACTAATATTATCTTATTTACTTTATTAATAAAATGATATAATCTAATTCATTAATAATATATAAAATTTATATATTGATAAAACATTAAATATAAACTCAACATTTTATGCCATTAAAGTTTGAAACCACAAAATTAATGATTTTTTTATTTTTTAAGAATAAAAATTTTCTTTTTTTTACAAAAAAATCATAATTTCAAAAATAATGATAGGAATTACAAGTTTTAAAATCATTTTAATCTCAAATTTATTTTATATTATTTTTTAAAAATGATTAAATGAATCAAATGAATTAAATCAAAATTTCAAAAATTTTATTTTCATATAAATTGATTCTATGTAATGAGACTACCCTGATATTCAAACTATTTATGTGATTTCAAGTCAAAACACGCATAACAAGCTGACGTTTTTATAATATATAGATAACGAAGACTAAGGAGGCTTATTTTTCGAAAATTTTAGAAATTTAAACAATTTAATTGGTGACTACTGACAAAGAAAATATCCATCATCGTGTGTACCGACAGATGTCGTTTTCATCAAAACGTGTATAGGAAAACGCCCCCTTTGACGGCAAAACTTTGAGTTTCGTTTTTTTTTTTTTCAAATCAATTTACCAAATTTCTTAGTTAAATATCTTTATAAAAATATTAGAATTTACCAAACTAGAAGTACTTACAGATTATTTCAACTGAATTTACCAAATTTCGCCTTAAATATGTTTAGAAAAACTAGAATTTTCTCAGTCACTAATCTATACGTGGATGTTTTGAAAAAAAAAAAAAAAAGTGTTTTAAAAGAAAAAAAAAGTTACATGATTAGTTTGTTATTCAAAATAATTAAGGTTAAAAATATTATTTTAATTAAAATTAATTATAAATTTAATTTTGATCTAAAAATTAAAAATATAAAATTTACATTAATATAAATAAATCTTTACTCAACAACAAATAATCTTACTTTTTGTTGAGTTTAGGGCTTTATGCCCAAAATTAATAGATTAATGACAATTCAAAATTTACGTACATATTCTATATAATTATAATTCAAGCAAAATAAGCATGCATATATAACATTACAAAAAAATTTATCATTTTAAGACACTTATAAACAAGTAATTAAAAAGTGGTTTTACGTATAAAAACAAACAATAAATTTGAAAAATAAAAAAAAAATTATATTGAATGCAGTCACGTCCCTACCATCATTAAATTTCAGGGCTTACAAACACAGCATAAAGAGTAGAAAAACTAGCAATTTGTAATTAATAGCATGCTGATAAAAAATTTAGTTGTGTCATAAAATTTCTTTTTCTAAAAATTAATTGAAGTACCCATTTTGCAGACTCTAAGCCACTGTTTAGGTAGAATTTGAAGTTGCTGATTGTCATGGATTGACGTTTTTGATATAGCCATATCAGTAGAGCTGAAGTTGAAGAGATCCCAGTTACAAGAAACAAACCCCCAAAGCTATCAAGGTTTAGACTGCTGGGATTACTTATAGAGTCCTGGTTTGAAGAGCTTGACTCACTGTTAAACCATGCATTTTCCATAATCTGCAGCTTTCCTTCCTCTCTTAACTTCACAATTGCACTTGATATGTCTTGGACCATGGGTGAACCTTTAGGGAAAACCTACAAGTTGACATAAGACAATCAACACCCATTGCTGCAAATTAAAGAAATATCAAAGACACGTGAGAATGAATCCGTAATTTAGTGCAATAAGTTCATGCAATCATTTTTAAAAATTGACAGGAGTAGGTCTGATTTTTAAATCACAACGCCCGTTTACCCTTCCCCTGTTCCCAAGCATAGGCGTCTTTGCTAAAAAAAAAAAAGAAATCATGTGAATGAGTGGCTTTTTTTAGTAAGTAGATTAATTTTTTAGACTAGATCAGGGCTTTCGAAAGGATTCTTACAAAGCCAAAACCGCCTGATGTAGAATTGGATTTGATCATGGTGTAATCAGCAGAGTACTTGGCAAGGAATACTTTAATGTACGGTATTTCATCGATAATGCCTGACACACCACCATTCTTACTTCCCCTTCTTAAAGCATTGGCATATTCTTCTGGAGAATGGTATGGCTTTAGCCTGGGATTTTCAAAATTTAAGTTGCTAATTGCCCTTGGGAACAAAGAACCGGAATGATAACCTACATAATCCTCTCTTGAGATCAATTGAATTCGTTGAACTGTTAGCATGGAAGCCAAAGTTGCCGTGTAGCTTGAGGTTAATATAAACACAACAAACACCCATATTATCACTACAAACTTTGACAAGTTGCTCAAGAGATTCTCTTCTGCACTTTCAAATTATAGTAGGAAAATTACGGTTAGCGTAGCTCAGGACAGGGTTGATTGTAATTAATGTATGCTTCGGGTTGAATATAGAGTACTTACTATGGGCATATACAAGAGTTGAGAAGGAGTACCAAAAGATCATTCCAACTTGCTTCAATGGTGAGCCTTGGAATTCATCATTGATGGGTCGTTCAATAAGCCAAACTACAAAGCCAGTGAAAATAAAGAAAGCAGCTGTTGTTATCCACAGATCTCCGGAAAGAGGCTTCAGGAAAATCCACATATCGTTTTTGCTGGCTTTTGGCGCTACCATTCCAATGCCCAAGTCAGTGTATGGCAATGTAAAATCAACATATGAAAATCTGCTGGCTATGATTGTTGTATCTCCCACAACAGCATCGTAATTCTACTCCATTGATCACAAGAAAGAATATGTAAATCACACACTGCAATTACAATATCTTAGAATTTGAGAAAAAAAAAAAAAAAGGTTAATTTCTCCGTCTCATAACTACAAAGTCTAGTCCGCAACCTGCTATTTTCTAGAAAGGCATTCTTACCTTGAGATAAACCTGACGGATAAGATCATTGTAAGATCCAGCCATTTGTCCCCTGGCATTTACAAATGGGATAAACTCATAGTTTACTTCATAATCTAAGGTTTCAATGGCTGCCTTAAACACCTCTGAACAGAAGCCACTTACAGTTGTTTCATTTGTTTGGGGATCAACAATCACATTAATCAATTCGCTGAATCCATTTTTGATCGGAACCCCAATCCTCAACCTCTTACCATATAGAGACCAACCTTTTGGAATGCTCTTCCTTCCTCCTGGCCAAATAACAGTTTCAAGTTTACTAGATGATGTCGAATTTAACTCATCCCGGTTGTCTTGCTTCGTTATTGGGGTAATTCCATTTTCTGGATCCCAGTAACCAACTATTCTTTCTCCCTTGAATACATTTACTATTTCAAATTCCTTTGGGACCAGTCTGCCATTAGTAAGTTGAAAGCCACCACTCATACCCTTGAATCTACTCTGTAGTATCTCATTAATAAATACCGAACCACTTTGTGAGGAAAGGATGGCGGTGAAGTTCATATTCCATCTGGTGTCTTGGTGTATGATATCAGGATGCCCAGTCTTTACCCTCTCTGCTGCTGTTGCCAGAGCCCAAACCATATCATAGGTCCATATACCATAGATATTTAGTTCCATTTCCTGTAAATTTTGAGTTTCAACAAAATTTTCCCTCCTCCATCTTAAAGTGAATTTGTGAAGCGCCTTTGATACAGGAATGTAAGGTCTGAAACCCACCACCCCTTGCATTGATTCAATGACTGATGGTTCTATTGAATGCAAGAAATTCATAATCATATCAGTTGTAATCCAAGCATACCCTTGACTTATCATTCCAAGCTGTTTGGCATTTAAGAAAAGGCGAGATGCAAGAGAGGGTGACATGTGCACCACATATATAGTTGTCTGCAAACTCATGAGCTTCTTGAGCTGCTCAATGATTTCTTCATCAGTGGTTGATGCTAAAATTGCAATATGCTGGGCAAGACGAACGTCAGTCCCTTCAAGGGAAGTGATCACTTTACAAAGGATTCCTCTTGCAGAATCATTATCTTCATAAATGAGGATTATATTTTTCCAACTGAAAGCTTCAACAATGGTAACAATGCCTTTGGCTTGAGAGGATTCATCTTGACCAATTTTAATTAAATAAGGATACTCAGAAAACGACAGGGGTGGCCCAGCTGTGAAGAGAGAAATAATTGGAATTTTTGCTCTGGATCCCAACTCTGCTAAAATCTTCACTCCATCTGAATTTTCTGCAATAATAATGGCCTGCAATTTGACATTTTCCAAGAGAACCAAGGCTGAACTTGAATATGTGTCGATGTCACCAAAAAGGAAAAAAAAAATCAGTCTGTCATCAATTTCCACTCTTTCATTTTCAGGATAGAAAATAGTTTAATGAAAGGAGAAAAAAGTGTATATTTGAGGACCCTGTCATAACTCATATCAGAAAATAGTATGGCATTTATAGAGAAATTTTCATGAGGAAAGGCAAAAACATACCTTGGGATAGAACAAGCAACGGATCACCCTCAGAATCTCTGGTGTGCAGAATTAGTCTTGTCTCATAGCGACTATTTAGACTGTAAAAATCAGATATAGCCATGGAAATGCAGCTATCAACAATTTTTCCCACCCAGGATTTCATATCAAGAATCACCCCGACATGAATCCTTTCTATCGTAGTAGAATTGATGCTGTTAAGATTGGATAACGATGGTTGTAGAAGGCTAAAGAAGATAGTAATTAAAGCGAAGGTGCCCATCTTTTTTGTTAAATCCATTGGGCTATAAAGCAATTTTCTGAAACTTTTAGTTAGCAGTTCATTCCATTCCATCCTCCATATATGTGGTGTAGAACATATGAGATTGACTTGAGGATGAGGGATATTAGTTTTTTTTGTTTTTTTTTTCAAACATATAAAATTGAAATACATACACAGGTTAAACTCTTTAAAAACAAAATATATTGTATTAAATAGAACAAGAACTTTCAAGAAGCAATGGAAGTAATTAATGGGGGCGGGGCCATAAAAGTTGAATTGGCTTGGTGGAAAGAAACCGTGTAATTAATCTACCTGAAGAGAGAGAATTTCCCGAACAGTCAACTCTTTGAATTGTCAAAGGAAACAAGTTCCTCCAAATATTTCGATTCCATTCCTCCCCTGTTCTCACACAAATTAATGCCCACTCCATGCAATTTGAAAAAAAATATATAGAAGCTCTGGTATAGACTGCAAGAAGTATATAATTCAAAGACAAAAGAGTTTAGAATTGTCAAGAGTTTACTTTCAACATACTTCCCCATAAATTTGAAAAGTTAACTCGTGTCAAAGCGCTCTCCGGTCTGGTTGGAAGCTCGACGCTCATGGGCTGAATTGGTAGTTTTCAGCAAAAGCTTCCATATCTACAATTCCGCATTTTGCTTCAATAAAGTTGAAACTGTAGCATTTTTTGACATGGTTTTTAAGTTTGCAAGAGGGAGTAGCTAAGGCTCCATGAAAATAACGTTAGAAGCTGCCTTCTGCCGTGTGCCCAATGCGTTGCTTTGGGTGCTAATCGTGGGACCAACTTCTGGAAGTTTTGATTTGCTTTTTAAACCAATGGAAAGGACTTGTGACACTTTGCACAAACATTAAAGGAAAATTAAAGGACTTGGTATCAAATATCAATAATTGATCTTTGCATCTTAGCACTCACAAAAAAGTCAAACCAACTAAATCATGGAGACGTATAATAGGGTTTTTTTTATTAATGCTCAATCAATTTTTTAACAATAATATAAAGATTTGATTTCGAATATTTTTTCTTCTCTTTATAATAAGATTTTGTCTTTTTTTTTAAATAAAAAAATAACAAATTAAAATCATGGATTAAAAATGTTTACGATTTTCATTTAAGTTCAAAGTACCCATGTGTATTTAAACAAAATATCCAAACATTTGTTATTATGCTAAAAAAATTAATTATTACAGTTTATTACTTGTTTTTTTTCCACACTCTTCCCTCAAAGAAAGCATCAAGGACTCGTCGCCATGGGAAATGCTGTGTGTATTTGCAATGTGTGTGTGTGTGTTTTTTTAAATTAAAAACTTAATAAATTTTTTTTAAAAAAAAACACATTTTGCCTTCCTAAGTAACTTTAAAAGCTCTCTTCACCTCTGCACTGCTTTTCCCCTACATAAAACAACAGTACAATCCCATTGAATGGAAGATCAAGATGAAGAAGAGAATGTCAACTTCTGTAAGCTTCTCTCTCTCTCTCTTTATTTTTCTGCCCATGTTCGTTTTAGGAAAGGTTATTATTTTGTTTGCTGGGATTCTTGGAGTTGATAATTTTTTTTTCTAAGTAATCATGGAAAAATATTCTTGGGTTTTGCACTTTGGCTTTGGAAATGATGTTGAGAGTATTCATTTTTGGGTTTGATTCTGTTTTGGTTCTCTTTTTGAAAGGAAGTGTTGAATAGGAGTTGTTAGCTGACTGTTTATGTTATGATCGATCACAAGTTGCATATGATTGATCCAGTTTATTTGGTCCTGACTTTAAAAGTTAAAAGGAAAAAATTTTACGGATTTAGAAATGAAGCCAACCGTTCCATGCTTTGATTTGGTTAAGGATTGGATCATGTGAATGAGTTGGGTCAGGGTATGATGATTATTTTTAATAAAAATAAAAATAACATCTTGATTAAACTGCAGCAGCTGTACCTCTGGGGCACTGCTCCGAAGCATGAAATGCCAAGTAATTAACTTTATTGTTGTTGTGTTCTTAAAGATGATTGCACAGGGCCTTGCCCATTTTGGTTTAGAAATGCCAAGTCATACTGCGAGCATGACTTACTTTAGAAATGCTGGGAGGAAAGATTATATTGCTTTCTGCAATGCCCAGTAAAGTGTTTTTGAGAAATGAGTTTCCAGTCAAACAAAAACATGGCAGCTTATTAGTTTTGAGTTATACCATGCATTAGAGTTGAAACTGAATTATCCAGTCAATCAAAAGTTTCATATGGTAAGTGGATACACCAAATAGTCTGAATGCATCAAAATCAGGAAAAACTTAGGGCAATTGCATGAAAGAAATTTTTCCTTTTGGTTTGGCTGGATTACTGTCAGGGAAGACAATATTCTGTGTATCTCATTTTGGATTGCTGCTTCCAACAGTAAATATAATTGCAGACTTGAAAATTATTGTGCACCTTGTCATGTCTTATCTTCTTTGCTTCCTCTTGTTTTCAGATATCTCCAAAAGTGGAACCTAAAAGACAGAGATTATTTACTCATCGGTTCCTCCCCATGATTCTTTTGCTTTCTGCAGCCTTCTTCATAGGAAGCGCATTTATAATCACAGACTATAAAGAGGTATATATGTCTAATTCCTGTTTGCACAAAGTTGAAAACTAGCTGAAACCTGAAAAAGAAGTGGGGATTTACTCGACTTTTCTGACATCAGAAGTTACTTCTATTCCTATTTGTCATTTGCATATATTTATTTTTCCTTTTGCAAATCATGCATGCTACATAAGTGTAAGAAGTGTTTTAATCCAATTTATTAACATAAGGAATCAAACACTCCATACCAACCCTTTCATGTAAATGGAATTGTATTATGTTCCCCATAATGAAGTAAATAATGTGTGATTTGGGGCCTTCTTTCTGCAGAGAATTTTAGGATGGGGATCAGTTATGGTTTTGCAGCATACAAGACCTAAGATGTGTGAGGTTTGTTTGTTTATTATATGTTATGTTATGTATGTTCTATACGTTTACATGAAACTCCTACGTTCTCCTAACCATTCCCTTTCTCTATATCACTTGTGCTTAGACCCAGTGCAGGGCTTATGGAAGTGAGGCATTACCTAGAGGAATTATTTCCAAGACATCTGACTTGGAAATGCGGCCATTATGGGGCCTACAGAATAAGAACGTAAGCAGTTTTGTTGCTAATATCAGTGGCATCAATGATCCTTGCCGTTCCCTAGTGCATTACAAATTTTCCAGTTGTTCAGTTTGTCTTCTAAATCATTATGGCTGCGCAAGTACTGTTCCTTTTGCAAGATGGAATTGACTAAGGATCATATTCTTTTTCTTATTTCATATTTGACTACAGTTTAATCTGGTTAGTGGCATTTAGATTTGCATTTGTCCCGTTCAGTCAAGCATTTTATCTGCTGAGATGATCCTTATGTGTCAGTCTGCTTCATTTTTATCCCTATGTCACCACAATTAAACCACCCTATCTGACTAAACACCGACCTCCATTTGTATCCACTTTGGTTTGCAACTTCACCCTCTGTTTCTTTTGTTCTGTAATCTCTCATGCCTTTTAATTTTACTAGAGGCAACATTTGCCAACTGTCATATCACTACCAATGGCAAAAAATTGAGGATATTGATTGGACATGGTTTTCTGATCAAGCTGTGTTAAGCTCTTAAACTCTGTAGTGCTATCTGGATACTGTATACTCTTCAACACTTGTGGCTAAGCCTATGTTTGTATTTACCTTTTTCTTTTTCAAATATATACTGTTGTTAAATTTGACCATAAGTGCAGTTTCTATAGTAGTTTAAAGCAATAAGGAGAAACATATTGCTCCCTTTTCTTTCTCAATTTACATCCTGCATCAGAATACTGCTGTTCAGTCTTACATTTGTATTTTGTTAGTTCCAACATGTGGATTTGATTTTATAATGGACATTTGGCATATAGCTATTTGTTTAATCTGTTTTGCTTGACTTTGTTCAGAAACCAAAGTTGTCAATGAACTTATTAGCCATTGCAGTTGGAATAAAGCAAAAAGAAAGTGTCAACAAAATTGTCAAAAAGGTGAAAGGACCCCACTTTATGTTTTATGTGATTATTTTAAATTTACATCAAATTTCTTTCTTTTCTTGCATTATTGAAGTTAGATTTATTTTGTACTTCTATTTTTTCCTCCATTTATTCCATGTTGCAGTTTCCAGAAAGTGATTTTGTCGTGATGCTTTTCCATTACGATGGCATTGTGGACCAGTGGAAGGACTTAGAGTGGAATGACCGTGTTATACATGTGTCTGCTGTCAATCAAACGAAGTGGTAAATGGTCATTAGCTCTAGATTTTAAACATCTTTATACATGTCTATTCAGTTCCAAACAACTTGGCATTGTTTAATGCGCTCTCACGAATTAGGTGGTTTGCAAAGCGCTTCTTACATCCAGATATCATTTCAGAGTATTCCTATATCTTCCTGTGGGATGAAGACCTTGAAGTCGACCACTTCAGTGCTAAAAGGTTTGTTGTGCTAGTCTTGCTTTTTCGCATTTGACTTCCTTACTAATGATTTGATACAATCTTTTGCCTGCTTGTAAAAAGATATACATTAGTTCAAAGTCTTACTGCATCATCTGCACAAAAAAATGGATCTAATTGTAAGAAACTGAAGTTTGATTCTCAAATGGCTCATCAAGGCCTAGCCTGCAGCCACAGGATGATAAAAATCTAGTCAATAATTAATGCCAACTAAATAAAAGGACTTATTTCCCAAACCTATCATCTTTTAAACTTGTAGAAGGGAGACAAGGTGGTGATTTACTTCATAACCATTCAAACACTGATTCTATCCTTTATTACTTAAATGCAGGTATCTTTCAATAATTAAAAAGGAAGGGCTTGAAATATCACAGCCGGCGCTTGATCCTGAGAAGTCAGAGCTGCATCATCCAATCACAGGAAGAGACAAAAAATCAACAGTACACAGGTTCTGTATCTTCTTAAGAAAATTATGTTCAGGAATGAGGAAAGATTTGGTCTCATGATAAAATTTGAGTTACTATCAGTTAATTGAATGTATGGAGCTGGGTGGCATACCCTAGTAATAACTTAGTTTGTATCTTTTGTTGTCAAGAATTTCTGGAAACTCGTCATCACTTTTATCCCTTGATTTTAGTCAAAGTAAATATCTGTGCATATTTCTAACTTGAGCATATTTGACAGGAGGACATACAAGGTGATTGGTAAGACAAGGTGTAATGAAACCAGCACAGGCCCTCCTTGCACAGGGTAATATAAATTTGCCCGTCTCTTTTTGTTGATAGTTCATAATGCTATAATGTACATATACCTCTTTCCTTAGGTTAAAGTTTCCATGAATTGTTTCTCAATTTACAATTTATTTATCTATTCACATGGAGTAAAAGAAAAAGAACATTGCATATTACAGGTTTGTTGAAATGATGGCTCCTGTTTTCTCCATAGCATCTTGGCGCTGTGCATGGCATATGATTCAGGTATGCTATCCAATCTAGACTGTTGAGGGTAATACTAATAGAAAAAATTGAGAAGCAGATAAGAATCCAATAAACAATTATTAGTATTTTATTATTTAATGGCCCTGTTAGTAATGTCAATGGCTCAAATAACAGATAAAGCTGGGATAGTCTGGATGTTTTTCTATTTCAAATTCCTAATAGTAAGGTTGAGTATTTCTTGTTCAATTGAAGCTATGCAGCTTAGATCCTTATTATCTGTGGTATGGTTCCGGTCCAATGTGAATAAAGTTCTAATTCTTTAAAAGCCCGTATAACATGGCCATATTGTTACATAAAGCTCAGCCATTAAAAATATCTGTTGTCTCATTCTTGGTTTTCCCTTGTATCAGAGTGACCTGATTTATGGATGGGGATTGGACTTTCAGCTTGGTTACTGTGCACAGGTAATCTCTATACCTTCAATCATGCCTTCCCCCTCCCCCCTTTTTAAAAGAAAATAGAAAAGTTCTTATACAGTCTTTTCAACATGTTTCTTATTATGAAGCTTTATTTGACAGGGTGATCGAACCCAAAAAATTGGAATTGTGGATGCTGAATATGTAGTTCACAATGCTATTCCTACGCTTGGAGGTTTGGCAGAAAAAAAGGTAAGAAACTTTGTTAAATAAAACCCTATAAAATGGTTCCTCAATTTGGTTAATCAACTGGAAGTGCTTCAATGTTTAATTTTTGGTTTGTGCTTCTTCATTTTGTATACATATGGACAAGGCCAAGGGGGTGAGGGGTTGAACCCTAGACCTTGATTGTGTATTAAAGGGTCAAAGAGAGACAACTACTAGGTCAGCCATGAGTTTTTCAAATCACTTGCGCTCTGCTCATTCATTACACACTCCAAGTCTTTAATTGCTGAAAGCGAACTTCCTTCTTCAAGAATATGTGGATTATTGATTATACTGCAGAAGTAGTTCTCTACCTGACGCATCCCAATCTGTATAAAACCAATTTAGGGTTGATAATTGTCTTAGTCCAATAATATCATTTTCAACTAGCCTGATCTAACCCAATGCAGATCTATTTTCAAGTCAAACCATGACCAACCTGAGTCCGGGGTTGAATTAAGTTTCATGACCTATTCAGTAAGAAGGGTACAAAAAGTTAACTATGGTTGACCATCCAATTCTTTATCTTTCCTATTTATTGTTTAATTATCTTTGCATTTGCAGGTACCATCGCCTTCCAGTGAGCCTGATGGAAGATCTGAGGTAAGCCTTCACCCTATAGCTATGTACAGACCAACTCTTGGCATTCATCAATTCATTGTCTGTAAAATTCTTCTCCTCAGGTTAAAAAGCAATCCTTCATTGAATTAGAGGTCTTCAAAAACAGATGGAAGAGAGCTGTAAAGCAAGATAATTGCTGGTTTGATCCATATGAACAATCGATGAAGAAACAGCAGTAATGCTCATATTAGAGGATCAGAGGAAGGATTTGGTTCTTGAACGTGCATGTAAAGGGTCACTAACACGAGCTGTTTCAAAACAAGGAATAAAACAAGAGTTATACTTGAAAAAACATCTGTTGAATACTTGTCTTATACTATAGATTCACTGGATTAGTAATGTAGTACCCAGAAAATGTTTTTAAAGCCTCCAATTGTAGCAAAACTTTTGGCTCAGGCAATTTTTATTTGACAGTTACACTGAACATTGGAAAATGAAAATCAACTGTATGGATAAATCAATTTTCAATTATAAAAAAAAAAAAAAAAAAAAAAAAAAAAAAAAACGAACTTTTCCTACAATTCTGAATTTCCAATTCTTTCCAACCATGAAGGATTTACAGTCAAGTTGGCAGGCATGAAAAAATTATATGTTGAGCAGAATTTAATATTATTTAAATAATACTGAATAAGTTACTAAATAATTAATTAAAATAATAATGAAACATTAGAAAATTAGTATAGTAATTGGGTGTGCATGATTTATTAATAAAAACCTCTAAAACCATATCTCTAATAGCTTGCTTTAGTCTCATTGGATGATCATCTTGCAGCTGCTCTTCGTTGTATTGGCTTTTTCTTCTCATCCTCGCCCATTTGAAGGATGGCTTACCCTCGGTTAACATTTATAAAAACAAGTTGAACTTTCTTCATGATGGCCTGGACGTGCCGCGAGGCCTCTTGCTGCTGCTGGTGTTTTTGGCTCCTTTGGTGCTGGAAAGACTACATGATTAGTGGGTTATGGGTATTTGAAGGTTTCATTCAAACTTCAATTCAGTATTTCAAATGTGGAAAGAGAAATTTCCTATATTTGTTGAAATTTGCTATCTAATATATAGTTTGTTTCGTGGATGCAAATTAATCTTTTTCCTTTGCTTGCTGAATATTCTCAGTTTTTGTAGCATTGAGAGAAAAAAAATTTTTTCTATATAATGGAAATTATAGTCAAGAGATAACCATAGGGATAAGGGTTGTAGGTGTTAGATGTTGAGATTTGAATTTTGAGCTTAGATCTATTGGATGTTACTTTTGAAAGTAATATCCAATAGATCAATTGAACTAAGTTTTGGATTCTAAACAAACTTTGTCTTTTGATTTAAAAGTACTTATTTGAGAGATAATTAGAGGCATAAAACCAATGCCCCTCACCTTCCTTGTAGCCAGCAAGTAAGCAACGTAAACTTATTATCCTACCATTTCAACCAGATATTCCAGCCTGTAGCATCTTAATTTGCTTGATCTTGGCAAAAAATAGGACCTATATAATATATGGTCGCCAATAACAGTAGGTATATATGCTAATGATTCTGCTACTGATGAATAATTGGTTTGTCATAAGAACGTGAACACAGCTCATTCATATCTTTCTTGCAATGCAAGCTTGAATATACATAAGCCTCCAAAAATTGCTCTCATGGACGAAGCAGGAATAAATGTTTCGAGTATATCAATAGCTGTAAAACAATCGTTACGCGTCAGGGGAGGATCCTTCGGCTGATAACTCCAGAAATGATTCCTCCAAGTTCTTCACCACTATCCTCCTGTACATGATGCCCTGTCTGGAGAAAGCAAACCCACAAAGTCAGCTATTGGCTGTACAAGAATCTTAGCAATTAAGAGAAAAAAAAAAAAAAAAAAGGCAATAAAGTAGAGGTTATATGATCCCATGCCAACCGTTTCGTTATAGCAGAATTGTAATAGTGAAATGCACAAGAAACATAATGGGGAAATGAAACAGAAACAGAAGCAGGGAACAACCAAATGACCTCTACTTTTATTTTAGTTTTAGAAACAAAGAATAGTCAGGTTTCTTTAACATAGTTTCTGGAAATATTTTACAGCATATTAAATACTCCAGAGGAGAAATCTGAATTTAGTTTTCTGCAGGTAAGACCTCAAACATGTTAGTTTCAAGAGATTATGTAAATGCATGTGGCATGTTGGTACCATTGGAAGCTCAACCAGTTTATGGTTTGAATTTTTGCAGAAATCTTCTACTTCATCATAGCTCAGCCAACGGTCCCTCTGTCCCCAACAGACTGTAGTTCGAACTTTCCAATTTTTATCCGTAAGAATCACTCTCATATCTTCCACATAGGCCTGTCAAGTAAGAAACCAGAATAATGGGGTAAATAGAAGAGTTTTTGGCAGCTAGTCACCTCCTTTGATGATGAAAAAATTGTAAGATAATTTTGCCATTGCACCTTAGTAATGTATGAAGAAGATTTAATACAAAATATTATGCTACATAGATGAACCGCCACAAGTAAAGTGGTAGGATAAGCATATTAGTGTAGTAGAGGATTTCCTCCAGAAAGAAGGAACATGGAGGCTCAAAGTTGAAACTGCTAGGTGCAACTTCTTTGATCTGACTATAACAGAACTTGAACTAACTCAAAAATTAAATCCACCTTAAGCTCTTTTTTCATGGCCCTACTAATTGCATTTAGGGCAAACCCTGAGGAACCAGATGTAAGATAAGGTCTTCTATAAACCATTGCATCATCCTCTTTCATTGCATAAGGGCCACAGCTTGTCAGTGCCTTATCGCTGGCCCTCAAAGGATCCTATTCAGCAAAAGAACAAACTATTAATAATGTTTGCTATACAGTATTTCTTAGGACGAGTTAAACAATAATCCATGAAAATAAATTGCTAGATATCTATATTCCATAAGCACATGAACAAGCAAGCACAAATCTGCTGTAGCATAGACACCTCATTTTTAAGTAAATTCCATATATATCATGCTTACCTGAGAAAAGATTTCACCCAACAAAAAGTTGCTGAATATGGATAATGTCGAAGGAAGGTTGGCATGTTTGGCTGTTAGCTGCAGCAATCAACGTCAAAAAGTATTTTTTATGTATACGCCAAATTGGTGATAGGGATATAATCCAATCTATAGTTAGTAGCACTAGCACAAGGAAAAGCGATAACTTGATGCTAAAGCTTCAGGATGTTCATACAGGAGGATTGAGGAGAATTAGATCATTAAGCTTTTCCTGATGATTGCTGGCGTATTTAACAACTACTGGTGAAAAATAACCCTGTAAGTACATGAAAGATCAAAAGCCTTTTAGTTGTATGTTCAAAGTAATTTAAAAGTTAACTGTATGTCTACTTGTCCACTGATACTCAAAGAAAACATATACCTGGACAACAAGTGATACTTTATTGGCAGCAACTTCGTTAACAAAGGACTCCAATGCCGAGACATATTCTGATAGGGAAGAAAAAAATTTTGAGGATGCAGATAAGCATTATTTTCCAGTTCTGCTTTTATATTGTCAATAAAGTTTGTTGAAACTAGATTTAATTGCCAGGTATACAAACTAATTACCACCCAATGTGTAGTCAAACCCATATCTTGGTTGAGGCTTATCTGAAAATCCAAAACCTGTTAAACAAGGGAGGTAGGAAGCAGGCAGACAAGCTGAATGTTATATTCATTTAAAAATGTATTGATGATATGCAGTCTGAGAGTTAAAAGGAAATCTATCTTTAAATAAAGCAAAACCTTAGAAAATTCAGAAAGACTAGAAGTTCTATCCAGGTCCTTCATTTTGTAAGTCCTAACTTTCCAAAGTGCAGATCTTCTATCAAAATTTCAAAGCATTAAGGAATTGGAAATGCATGGCTACTCTGAGATATCAGAAGTCGTCCAATGCTGAAATATTGCACATGGTTTATTGTATTTGCAGCTTCAATGAAGTACATGCACCCAAATTTGGTCATCTATATGATGATGAAAAATTTTGAAAAAAAAAAAAAAAAAGAACAAAAAGGCAAGCATGTGTTTTCCTTTAAGATTGTAAGACAAAGTTGCAATGATTTTCTATTCCATCCACTAATTGCCATGTCTCTAAGCCAAACCAAGCACTTTTAGAGAATTTTTTGGGCTAAATCAAAACAAATGGATCACCTCTTACCATAAATACATAGGCAGCAAACCTTTAAGTACTCACATGGTGAGACAGAAGTAATTAAATAGTATCATCTAGCAGAACATAGGCTCGACTTCATAGTTTCTTACAAGTCACCCAAGACCTATAACTGTATTAGTAACTTGGTCTATCCTGATAAATCACAATGGATATGATCTTACCTAGCCAATCAAAAGCTATAGCATGATAATTCTTGGAGAGAACAGGGAGGACTTTGCGATAGGAGTATGCCTGCGAGCGAAATTAATCTATCACATTTATAAACCAAGTATCATATTTTAACTGCTATTCAATAAATATTATGATATGGAAAGGAAAAAGCTAGCTACAAAGAAGATTGTAGAATTCCTAATTATTGTGATATTGTGTTAGGCCAAAAGGGACTAACCTGTGATGGGAAACCATGAATCAAAATAACGGTAGGATTATCAGCATTTCCACTTTCCACGCAAAACCATCTATTTCATCAAATCATGTAGAGATAGAGAGCATGTTTTCAACCTGCAAATGATGAGACCTCAATTTCTTTCATACCATGGAAACCTAAAATCAAAAATAGTATAAGAAAAAGCAGTAATTAAACTCACTAAAAAGAAACCAATATTAAACTTATCAGAATTAATAAAAAAAAAAAACAACATTTAGAAGTAATAGTAATTTCTGGAAGATAACCCTAATAGAAAAAAGTATTCACGTTACCTGAAAACATCACCTGAGGCTTGAGAGCCAGCTCCCATAGTTAGTCCAAAAATTGGATCTTTAGCTTTCTCACCAGTGCCACCAACTGGATAGGCTTTCACCTACCAAATCAAATTAAAGTAAAAAACAAAGACCTTTAAGGCATAGTCTAGGAGCTAAAACCAGGCAATCTACAGGTATGTATTACTCACGAATTTTCCTTGCTTAAACCATTCATCAGACGGGTTTGGCTCATCTGAATATTTTCCTGTCCAAAATAAACACATATTTTCATTCAATCATTAAATTCTTGACTAATGCATTACATTTTAAGGGGAAATTGTAGTGAAAGATGAATGTACCTCCACTAAAAGAAAAGCCATCGCCAGCTGAAACAGGGGCATCAATCAGATAATCCTGCAAAACCCCAACATCTTTTTACATAAAATTATTGGTTTGAATCAATAGTAATGTATCAAAAGTACAAAAAGAGAGCTTACATCTTGTGGGTCATCTGCGTTTGATCTGCTACAGCTAATTCTGAGAGGCTTTCTACAGAGAGGTCGAGCCCTGGCTGTGAAAGACCCACCAAAGAGAAGTGATAGAGAAGCAGTAGGGGAGTAAGGGAAGCATTGAAACTGATGGCAGAAGAGGGTAGGGGGCTTGGCTTGGATTGCCATAATGTTTCAGGGAGAGAAATAGAGAATTATGATAAACAAAGAGACGGTTAACCGTTGGCCCTTCTTCAATACAAAAAAGCGGGACTGTGTCATAAAGGATGGGAATTCACTGGCTCCTATTCATTTACATACTGTCACATCTAATATTTTGTTTCTCTTTACCCAAATTAAAAGGGAAACAGTTCTGAAATATTTTTTTATTATCATATTATGATTTTTTTGTATTAAAAAATATTTGGGAAATAGAATATATTCTTTAATGATCTTTATTCCTTCGTCCAATTCCAAATACCCTTTCTGTACCCATTATATATGTGCTAGATTTTCATCTTAAAAATCTCAAAATTCAATGAATTTACAAGGACAATCCCCTTGCTAAAAAATGTGAGGATTTTATATTCGTTGGATTTTCGCAAATAATCAATTGAAATTCATAGTGCCACAATTTTGCAATGGCCTTTACTTCTCTCTGACTTCTTGGCAGCTGATTATGGCAGTGAAAGAGAAACTTGTTCATGCAGTAAATGATCTTTAACAAGAAAATTGAGTTACAGACATTTGATAGTTGTTATTCGTTCCCAAAGGATCGTCCAATATTTATAGATTTACATTAAGTAACAAAGAACGATCGAATAACAAAACAAAGATATCATCTACTTAAAGTAGTAAGGAAGGTCAAGGACATAGAGAAGGAAATAAGCCCAAATGACACCAGAGATTCCACCAAAGAAGAATCCTCCACTGAACTTAGCCCATCCATCCGCCGTTTGCAACTGGTAAGGCTCCTTTTTCCTCCCAGTCAGGATTAGGGTTGGGGCTGTTGAGGGCTCTTCTTCCTTGAATGATGCAACGCCATACATTGTCAAGCAAATGCTGAGGATTACAACAAGACCAGCAGCTGCCAAGGACCTAGCTTGGCCTGCAACAGCTGTGTTCCTCAGAGGGCCAGTCTAAACGAATGGCCCCACCAGGAGGAAGCCGTGGGCCAGACCCACCTCAATACCCCTGAGAAGTTGGTTCATTGCTGTCCTGTAGGCTGGGAGGTTGGAAAGGTACCAAGCGACCAAGGGGCTTGATGTAATTGGAGTCTCAAGGCTTCCAATGAAGGGATCACCATTGATGGGTTAAATTACTTGATATGGTGGCTGCAAAGTGGAGGGAAAATGATAAAACTTATTCACTTACCTAACACTGACATGATCAGGAGACTAGACACCATTGACAAATGAGAAGAAGGTTTACAAGTGCTCACTTACCTTGTCTGCTTTAACAGCTTTGACAGTAAAGCAAGGAGTTCTGATCTTGACAGGTGATACTCTGAATGTGGCTCCAGAAATGCCCCTTGGGACTACCAGTCCTCTTGTAACAGATGATGTAAAGCTGCTTTTGAGCTGACTTGCCATTGGAGAAGCAGTGGTAGCCATTGATCGATTTTGTTAATTAAAAAAAAAAAGAAGACCCAAGAAAACAAACTGGAAGTGGAAATATGTGCTAATACAAGCCAAGATAGACTGAGAGAAAAGATTTTCTGAATGAGTAGCTAAAAAGTATCAATTGCTGGGAAAGTTGTGGTCGAGAAGGATGCGATGTTAGCTTTGCATATTTGCTATTGGATTGGTGAATGTGCGGAATCCTATCCTTTATCCATAACAACAAATATTGCTGACATGTTATATAATCCAATCCTGGTGATGTTTTTTTAATTAGTTGAGGTTAATAGAAATTAAGAGTTCATTATTCTCTTCCATTTAATTTGAACATAATGCTTGGATGCAAAAATTAATGTTCATAGTCTATATCTAATCCAGTTATTTTTCCCTCTTTTTTTTTGTTCAAATTTGGATAAAACCAAAAATATCAGAATTTGTATTTGGCCGGGCTTGCCAAATACAAGCTGGGCTCTCAGGCTTGGACAGAAGATCTCACTGCCCTTTTAGATTTCCAGGCCTTTAGGCCTGCTCGACAAAAACGGTAAAACTGTTTTAAGGTTTGGTACAGTGAATTGCCAACAACATATGCGTGGACAGGGCTTGTCTGCTTCCTAAAGGCTCAAGGCATGTAACTCCAGATCCGAACTGAACAACCTTAAGCGGGCACTAAACGAAGCCGAAAATGGCACTGCAAATTGTGAAACTTCCCTTTATCTCACGCTGTTGCGATAGCGGTAACTCCACTTTGTTTTTCCTATTGAAATCTTACTCTCCTCTTCACGGTACCGTCACTGTTGCTCTCTCTCTCTCTCTCTCTCTCTCTCTCTCTCTCTCTCTCTATATATATATATATATATATATATATTCATACTATTTTTTTCATTATTTTGTGTGCATAGTTTTAGTTTAATTTGCAGTTAGACTCAAATTTGACGTCTACATGCTTGTTTCCCTGCCGGGGTTTAATAATTTTCATTAACACTTTTGATTGTAGATAGAATTATAGGAAAACAAGGGTTGTTCTTTAATCTATTGTGGGTGTTTTTTTATCTATTTAAATGGTTCATTTTTTCTTTTACTTTTTTGGCGTACTAATGAATTGGATTTTATTTTGGCTTTGGCCTGTATGAATTGCTGTGCTCTAATAATTTGGTTGTTTGGGATTTGGTTTTCACTTTTCAGGAAGATTGGTCAAAGCTCATATGCATAGTCCCTTTAGAAGCTTTGCTGTTGCCAAGTCAGAAAAACTTAAAATACCAAAAAAGTAAGCCTATATCGCTGAATTGATAATTTACTACATATTTCAAAGATATTTTTATTTCATGCCAATACATATTGTAACACTGAAATTCTGGGAATGCCATTTATTGCTAATGGAAGAAGATGCAAACTGACCCTAGCTTAATCCAAAGCCTTTTATTGGTCCCAGAAACCCAGCCATAACTTCTTTTTTATTTTTTACCTTATTATGCTTTACTCTATGACAAGTTCAGGAAGAAAAGGCTGGATGAGATATGTCTTGAAAGGTTCCAGCAGTACAGCCGATCTTTCATACAGTCATGGATTTTACAAGGTAAGGAAAAATCTTCAATTGGATGTGTCCTTGTACTTTGGTACACTTGGAGTAATTGCAATTCCGGTTCTTGGAAATGTAAATTATATGAAGAACTGGCCCTAGAACTCATGGAGACTTATCTTTTCTTCTTCTGATAGGCAAAGTGTATGTGAATGGAAAGATGGTAAACAAAGCTGGAACACCTGTCTCTGACAAGGCTGTTATAGAAATTACGGCTGAAATTCCAAAATATGTATGTAGGTGATTATTCTCTGAAACACCCATCTTTAATTTTTTTCAAATAATATTTCTGAGGTGTTCAGGGTTGATTTTAATGTTACCTTCGCTGATCCAGAGCTGGATATAAGTTAGAAGCTGCTATTGAACAGCTTGGTGTTGAAGTGACTGGCAAAGTAGCCCTTGATTCTGGGTTGTCCACTGGAGGATTTACCGATTGCCTGCTTCAGTATGGTGCATCATATGTTTATGGAGTTGATGTAGGTTATGGACAGGTACTAACTGGACAATTAGTAATACATATCATGTGCACATGAAGTACCTCTCCATCAGTTTTCAAATGCTAATATGAGAAAATATATTAAAACTGAACATAGAATAAGAAAATTTTGGCCAGCAACATCACCTTGGTCATAGCTATGGGTTGTGTATGTCAGTTTTTGTACGACGGTATAGGGTTTTCTGATTGGCACTTTTATGGCCGTGATTAAAATTTCTGGAAATGAAAAGTAACTGACTGCAAATTTAGATAACCACTTATAAAATGTACTTATCAAATCTAATTATCATGATAAGTTTTGAAACTATAGAGCAACTCTTCTTAAATTAACTCATACAAGAAGCTTATTTAGTTGGGAAAAGATTAAAAGAGAGACCATTCATATAGAAGTAAATACTGGTATATTTTTGTTTTTCTTGACCTCTGGCATTTAAGTGAGTTATGCTTATGTAACACAAGAGTTAGCCTATATGATTTTTGGAACATATTGTTGACAAATTGCTTGGCTTGGTTTAATTTTTGTAGACACTGTTTTTGGAAAGAACTTGTATTTGATCTGCTCACTTGATGCAGATTAATATTTTTTCTAAATAATAAATAAGGGGCTTGGCTCTTAAGACAAGGATATTCTTTCCTCTTTCTGAGAAAATTTCTCTTGAAGACATTATAAGTTATTAAGAGCAGTTTTTTTTTTTTTTTCTCTACCTTCATTTTTTAATAATGAAGCTTTATCTGTACAGTAGCAATTACCTATGTGCACTGAGGGAAAAATGTAATGAATGATATGTTCCCTGTGTGTGAATGGATGTGCACTTTTGGATTTTTAATGATTCTTGATTGCCTGTGGGTTTCAATTTTTAACAGGTAGCAGACAAGATTCGTCGAGATGTACGTGTTTGTGTGATAGAACGAACAAATTTAAGATACCTTTCTGGTCTCCCTCAAAAAGTTGATTTGGTGACACTGGACCTTTCATTTATTTCTATTCTCTTGGTAAGCTTTCAAACATCTCCAAACTGCTTTGTTAACATGCTTGTATTACTTTTTACTCGTTTCAATCAGTCTCTTCAGCCAATTCTATTCCATTTCTTCTCTCCTCTGAACTGCTTAGATTTGTTACAAGCCTTATTTGGCTGAGCAATGCTCTACTTTTACACTTGTACACTGCACATGATATTTGTTACTTCAGTTAATTGTATTTACTGTCAAAAAGTGGGAGGGAGCAGAATTACTGTTCTCTATAAATGGGTAGTTTTGTTAATAGTAATCACATGAGTAACAACCTTATGCTTAATTCTGTCATTATCTTTAGTTATTTATGTACTTTCTTAAACAGGTTATGCCTGCTGTGATAAATGCAATGAAGGAAGAGGCAACTTTGGTTACACTGGTTAAACCTCAGTTTGAAGCTCGTAGGTCACAAGTAAGGAACATAAGTATTCATGTGGACATTTAGACACATGCCTTTAGAGTTTCTGTTTTTCATTTTCCAGTATGGATGTCATGAGCTGAAGAATTGAGGATGCCCCTAAAAAATTGTGATAATTATATCTGAGGGTTTTCATCTAACTTTTAGATTTTAGCTTTGAGTTTATGAGTGTAATCTTGTTTAACGCCTTTGCAGGTAGGAAGTGGTGGGATAGTGAGAGATCCTAAAGTTCATCAGGAGGTACCCAAAAATTTTGTCAAATCCACCTTTTTCCATCCAAAAAAATAATATCATCATTAAGATATTTACTTTCTTTTTTGTTTTGGGAAAGCTGAAGAGGTAGGCTACCATTTGAAGAGCATAAGTTAAGATGGTATTATGTTTTGTCTTGTAGGTACTCGAAAAGATCATAAAGGGTGTAGAGAACTTTGGATTTCAAAGCAAAGGTTGGATAGAGTCTCCTCTAAAGGGTGCTGAGGGTAATACTGAATTTCTGGTTTGCTTCAGTCGGACTTATGAGAAAAGTTATGAATAGTTTATTGTAGAAGGAATGAGCTGGATATCCATCCTTTATTTGAATTTGAGAATACCCAATGTGACATTGTGCCTCGTTGTGAACCCTGCATCATCAAGAGTAAAGCCATGGAAGATTTTATGTGCAGGATAGTTTCATTACCACATGGGAGTCGCATTGCTTTGAAATTTTTTTCGCCCAGTTGTGTTCTGCTTTTAAAATGAAATCAATCCACTGCTAGCTTCTTTATATTCTGCTCTTTTAACCCACGATAATATGCATTAAGAAAGACTTGTAATTATTCAATTTTCAAACGCATCTAAGATGTAACATGTCTTTTATATGTAGAAGAAAGAAACGTGTAAAATTTTCATGGATGAGAGTTTCTTGTGCATTGTAATATAGCTCCATTTTATGTCTAATATTGATCCTCAAACTGTTGAGCACTTCGATTGAAGCATGAAAGTGGGAACCAAGGGAATTGAGGAGGTTCTATGCGCTTTTTGCAGGAAAAAAAAAAATTAAGATCATTGAATGAAGAATATGGGATTCAATAGTGGTAGAACCTAGAAAGAAAAAATACATGACTGTCAGCGGTCATTTAACATTTTGAAAGGGATCCTAAGACCAACCACTTGCCCAACAACTGAGAACCATGAAAGAAGATACAGTTCCAGCACCACTTCAAATTTAGGCTGGGCAGTATCATTGAGGAAAAGCAACTTCATCCACTCTCCAGTCCCACATGGATGTAATTTGTACCATGGTCTTTTCAAGTGTGGATGTTCCTACAATTGAAAAATATTCACACATCCCCTTCATATAACATACTTCAAAGAGATTCAGCACAGTACCCAAAAAAAAAAAAAAGCTGATCATTTTGAGTTACGAAAATAGACAGTAAAGTAAGGTAGGAAAAACATACCTCTTGAGTTATGAATGTCCATTTTGATTTTGACAATTCCTTTGAAGAGCATGTAGGAAGCTCCTTTTCTATTTCATCCAACTGCAAAGGTTGTCCATCTATACATGGTATAGTAAAGCATTCAGTTATACTCTTCAAATAATTAATGAATCGGACAATTTCAAACCAGACTTCATCTATATAGAAACCCACCCATACTGTGCCTGCATAACAAGCAAGAACATGATAAACTGTTTCCCTGGGGTGCCATCAACATATACCACATACTAACATACATAAAACACCAAGCACACAGCCTTCCAAACAGCCGGACATAAATCACTTAATAAACATCTATTATTCGCTAAAAAGAGCTTTGTTTATCCAATAAGGTGCAGTTTCGCTATATTAAGGGATCCTCTGCACAGGTCTGTCCTGCTGCAAGAAAACTCAGTATGCTAACTTCACTAGTTGTTTAGTGCCAGATTTTTTAAAACTGCAGATAGATCTGGTAACTCAGCTTATCAGCACCTACTCTAGGGTGGTTCTAATAGTCTCAAGTTGCCAAGTTACATCTAGCCAAGCTAAACTTGCCTTAGGTTAATTTCCTTAGTGCACAGCCTTCAATAATTGAACCACCTATCATCCTTGACAAGACTCTTTGTTGAAGACAACAGATAAAAGAACAGATCATAGAGTTCCATAATTTTAGAACATGACATTAATTCCCAGCTGCAAAACAAGCCATGGGATACTTCAAAAGATTTCACTCTTTAAAATCAAAGCCCATTTCCTTGATCGGTTAAAAAAACATGCTGCAATCCATCGATTATAAGCATTATCTCTTTGGTCTTTTCACTTTTGCCACATCAGCCTAATGTCTGATCTAAAATTCAAACATCATATAGTGATATAATTTTGTCCTTTTTTTTTATTTGAAGGAAGAAGGGATTTGAATCCAGCTTTTTTAGCAGAGAAACATATGCACATATTATTGAGCCAAATGTTAGGGTGCATTGTGGCAAAAATTAAACATGACAGTAATTGACCAAAATGGCTGATCTAAAAAATAAACCACAATCATTACTTCAGAAGAGCAAATAGCATAAGTTAGTTCCAACTTAGGATTCTTGAATATGAGATATATTTGTCAAATAAATAAGCTAAATTATATCAGGATTATTTTCTACCATAAAATGACAAAAAATTTCCTAACATAATTGCTATTGTGTGGGAGGAAGTAGGAGGGTGAACTTACCACTGCAGTAAGCACGTAAATATAACACCGGAACCCTAAATGTATTACTGTAGACTATATGGAAATCATAGTAATGTAATTCATGATGATTCCTCTGGACCTAAAAATACAACAAGAACATTATCAAAGTCAGACAATAATAAACAGGCGATAGAACTAAAATTCCATGTTTACTCCCAAGTCTCACACATTTGTTACACTCAATATAAGCAAAATAACTGGAAAAAACAATCAAAATATATTTACCAATGTGGCATCATCAATAACATCTTTGTTTCCTGAGCAACTGGCCTCTTCTTCATCAGTGTCAATTTGAGTAGTTTGATCAATATCTTCCTGCATCCAACAGAAAGAAGAAATAAAAAAGCAACTTTGTTGTTAAATATTCAAATATGATCCATTAAATGACCCGAGACTGAACCTCATTTAGCCTGGAAATGCATATCTTTTCCATTGACAAGTACCCTTCCTCCTGCAAAAGCTAAAAGTAAGTTGATTCCTTTCTGTGAAGCATTAAGTTATTTTGCAAGGAGGATTGGTTAAAAAATGATTGAGAAGAGTAACCTCAGGAGAAGCAAGCCAAGGGTGTTTAGGACAAGGAACCCAAACCCATGGAGGAAAAGCAAAGTTAAGGCTTTCCCATTTCTGAGCAAATGCGACAGCACCAATTCTGAAATCCTTTGCAGACAGGGTTCCATCCCAATGTAAAAGATCCATCATTACTTTCGATTACCGTCCAAAACAGCTCCAACGTTACTAAAAAATAATAACATTAAATTTTTTTTCTGAAAAAACCCACCCCGATAAATTAATTTAATTATGGACAAAATAAGAATTGAAGACTCACCCACAGAAATCTGGTGAACGGAAAACGAAAAGGTGTGATCGAAAAGCTTCCTGGGTGAGAGTGATTGGGTCAAATTGCTTCACGGGGAATCAAACTTACACTTGTAACTTATTAATTATCAAAGTGCTAGATTGAACGCGTAGTTTCACCGGGAGACCTGAACGGAGAAATATATTTTGATATTCCTTTTTTTTTTCTTCGAGGAGGGAGTTTTCCCTTTTTTTTTTTTTCTTGGTAATTCTTGTCAATTTAATTTACAAGCGTTAGTGATAGAATTTATAAATGGAGAAAGTTAAAAAAAAAAAAAAAAAAAGAATTTGACTGGTATAACTTATTTAATTTTAAACATATATAATAGTAGTAATTTTTTCTAGTAATAATTGTTAAATAAATTTTGTTAAAGAGAAGTAACAATTTATACAGTATAATTATTTTTTATTTTAACATATTTTTAATTTTTTACTAAAATAAATCTAAAAAATAAAATTACACAAATTAAAATTATTTTAATTTTACATATTTTTTAACTCTTAATCTAAATAAATTTACAAAATGAAAGAAATAGGTAAAATTAAAAAATAAATACCAGTTTTTTTTCCAAATCGTGAAGGGTATTTAAATTTCTTTTCCTATCACCTCTGTTATAAATTATATATGCCAACTATTCTTGAATCAATAGATATGTCATTGGAATTGATAATTACAAATTATAAGTTTAAGAGAACTTAAACAAATAATATCCTCTTTAAACAAGTATATATCAGAATAAAAAAAAATTAAAAATAGATTAAAAACTTGAAAAAAAAAAAAAAACTGTATCTATATTTACATGGCAATGAAGTCCAATCTACAGTTTATGTACATTTTGGATAAAAGAAAAATGGAAATATGATAGTTATATTCAACAAAGAGCAATATACCAAGGAAACTTGTAGTAATGCTGGATTATTCAACAATTGTTAGCAATTTTATACCCAGCCTGACCACTTCTGGGTAAAATAAAATCTCACCTTAAGATTGCTAATACATTAATTCAGTCCAAAAACATCCAAATAGAATCACAAAGTTTACGGTTAACTGGAAATAGCTTTGGTTTTCTACATGTCATATTACAATTTACAGTCATTTCATTGCTTGCCCACCTAGAAAAGAAAGTCGAACCCTAATTGTTGTACATAATATAACATAAAATGGAGAATTTCTCTAAAAGTATTGAAATTAAATAAAATGAAAAGCCGCTGGAATGACCTTCAAGCAATGAATGATGTGGGTATGTGACCTCAGCTCGAGATACTTGCCGTGTATCATGCTCATGGTTTTGATGGAGTTGGTGAAGATGGTGGCTTCAAATCTGGATACTATAGTGAAAAAGAGGGTAAATGTCAGTAAAATTCATGAAAGTTAATGTGAACAATGCAAACTCTAAAAAAATCAAAATGTGGTTCATGTAATGGTGAAAAGATAAATTTTCAAAAGTTATGTATCATTTAATCGACCATTTAGTTGAATTGAGATATAATTGTTATAGTACTCTATAGACTTTTCTTTGTATCTGAATTTGTATTATTCATGCTTTTACGAATCAGTGCCAACAAAACCCATTAGTTAAAATAATCTTTTGATTTATTCTACTTCTACTCTTTGATTTCAGAACCTTTTAACCTCAATCCAAGGAGAAACTTGAGATGTTTGGGTAAGAGGAGGAGGACCAGGAACCAAGTTTGACAAATCGCATAGATTTTGTAAGTTTATGATGCATCCTCTGACTTGCTACTAGAAAAGCACTTGTGGAAGAAAAAGAGAGAAACCATACATTAGGGTAAGGAGAGGAGGACTGGGAACCAACTTTCGAATGTGGCATGGATTCAGTAAGTTCATGATCCATTATCTGACTTTCTACTACAGGGGCACTTATAGGAGAGAAGCCATCTTTCTTATCCTCCACTTGACTAACTGCTCCATTTACCCCAAGCTTTTGAGAAATTTTGACCTTCTTCTTCTTCTTTGGCTTAATATGTACAGAAGGTGGCAAAAGGGTTTCTTGTATTGCCTGCAAGAAACCAAAAATATGATACTTACAATTTCTTTTCTATAGCAGCCTCAGATAAATAATAACTGCCACATGCTCAACTATCTTAGGTTGATTGGCCAAAAAAAAAAAAGACACCAACTTGGGCTTCCAGACACAAAGGAAAGCCTAATACTCTTACTAAGACTTGTCAAGTTATAACCGAGATGTTTACCATTTAACTATTAATAAATAGATATATTAAAGGAACAATTTTATCTATGAGAATGAAGGAGACAAAGCAATAAAAGGAAAGAGATTTTAAATTCAATTACCACAATCTATCAACAAAAACCTCCTATTTAGGTGATCTTTTATTTGAATTGTTCTGTTATCCAGAGCTCAACGCTTTACCCAATCAGATCAACAGCCATTTCTGCCAAAAGATACAAGTATATCTTGTATCCCATATTAAATGATTGTTTTGAAGCTTTCTGAATTGAAATTATTAGAGCATAAGCCTTATGTGACTTGTATTTATTTCCAAGGTTAACAGTCTCAAATTTCACTTCTTTATTCCTTAAGATAAAATTAACCAGAATCTTCAACATTCAAATTAAATCTTGACTTTCACGAATATATGTTTCCTGGAAATTCCTTGACTTAGATAATCTAACTGTGGTAGTAAATTACGCCATTGATGCATACTAGGCAACAGTGTTCATCCCCAGGTAACCCAAACTCTCAGGCCAATCCCTGGTAAGCATTGTAATAATTTCACATAGCATATATAAACTCTTGCCCCCCTTTCCAAATTGACCCCTCACATTTATCAACTTCGTGAGGCATGTAAGGGGCAATTCCCAAGAGCCAAGCAACCTGTGAAATATGCAAAAGATATAATACAGTAGAAGAAGCATACTTAAAGAAACTAACTAGAAACATCAAAAATGGAATTGCATCTCTATCCCCAAACGAAGAAAATGTATTTGAAAATTGAAACAGAGCTCCATTACAAGAATCCATAAACTCTTAACTCAGCCATATACTAAGAACAAAGAGACTTACCAACCAACCTTTCTGGCCTCTGACTCCACCCCTGATTGCATAAGCCTCCTTAAAGCCATTCTGATACAATAACTCGGCCGCTTTCAAGGAATTTCCCTCGAAACTACCTTATACATAAAAGGAGGAAACAACTATGCAATTATGAATAGCCAGTAAACTTTTGAACTTAAGTAAAAAATTGAAATTCCAAGGGCTTACTTGTCAAGAAGACAAAGAACAGTATTTGCAGGGTTTGGAAACCTCTCCAGAACTTTCTTCATGAATCCATCCTCATCTTCAGCAGTAAACTGAAGCTGAACCGTATCTTTGTTCAAAAAATCCAACTTTGGAGACCCCAAAGAATCCAGAGTCTTCTTCTCTCTAATATCCAAAAGTTGAGCATTTGGGTCATCACGGAGTTTCCTAAACGCATCAATGGCAGATATAAACTTGCATTTGCTCAAGTACTCTTTAGTTAAAGGTACAACAACAAGCCAAATGAACGTGCAGCCAGCAACAAAAAATGGGTTTTTGTTAAAAAATTCATCAATTGATACCAAGATTGCTTCTAGGCTCACTTTGCCTGGCTCAGTTGAGGATATAACTGATTCAGAGGACAGACAAGGGAAAGAAGTGAAGAGGTTAAATAAGGTAAAAGAAAGATGGGTTTTGGTCAGAGTTTGTAAAAGAGAAGAGTTTCGAAGAATTGAAAGAGGGTTTTGAAGATGGTTTTTAGAGCGACGAAAGGGTGAGGGAGAGGTTAGTTCAGTGGTGCGGGATTTCGTTCCTTGATAAATGAGAGATTGAGGAATGGAACTGGAGATGGAAAAGGAGCATGGGAAAAGAGGAAATAGTTTGGAGGAGGTTGATTTGTGGGTATTGGGATGGTTTTGTAAGGGTAGAAAAGATGAAAGGATCATAGAAAGAGACTCCATTATGATTGTCAGGAAAGACGGAGAGAGCGAGAAGAAGATAAGAGTGGAAGCGATTGGGCTGATTCGGAATCGGAAAACTTGCTCAAGTAGCCTATAGCAGACTCCATTTGGATCTATCAAAATCAATTAAAGGCTTAAAAAATATTTGTGTGTGAGGCCTGATTGCTTTCTACGGCCCAATTGAGAATTGACATATTACATATTTCTTGATGAAAGGTTTGACTATTGGAGACAACAAAGTGGTACAAAAAAAAATAATTCATAGTCATGGGAACAGGAAAAACCCATTTATGTTCAGCTGGAGAGGTAGTTAGTTTCTATGATTGTTAGTACACATGCTACGGCACTATTGAGGCCGGATTTCACCGGCAATCTGCATATGAAATTTCTTTTCAAATCCAGCAATGTAATCCTCCATGCATGCCTGATAAGTCTCCATCCCAACAACCTTCCTAGCAAGTTCCAACCCAGCATTCATCCACTTCTTTGCCATATCAATCTGTCCCATCCTTACGGGTAAGGCTGCCCGATTCCATGCAGTCATTGCAAGCCATTTGCCCTCTTCTGTTGGATATTCCCCTTCCTTCAACCCAACCATTATTCGATATGCTTGCTTGTACATACTAAGCACTGCATCATCATCCGAATCACCCCTGTGAATACTAACAACTGCAATCAGCCTTCGGACAATAAGAGCCACATCTTGGTAGTCTGGAGAGGGGGAAGAAAGAATGCGTGAGAGGCACTCATTAAGAGCAAAGATTGCCACGTCAGCATTGAACCTTGGACCCTCTGAGGCATTCAGGCCGATTTGGAGAAGGTATTGAGGACTGCAAGCCTTTGTGCCCGCAAAGCTCTTCACAAGATGTTGTTGGGACTCTAAATTGTTCAGTCTTCCATGCATATTATAGGCATTGAGCACATACATGAAAAAGAGATCAGCATCAATGGTAGTGACTTTATCATCAGTTAGCTGGGTTCCCACAGAGAGCGAAGTCAGGATCTGCAAGCATGCAACAAATTGAAGAACCATATGATAAAAAAAAAAAAAAACAAAACAGCTTCGACAGAAGATATACTAAAATGTGAGGGCAGCAGCCTTCAAGCATTTGCAACACACATGAACATGTCAGTTTCTTATAGAAAACAGCGCAACAAATAATTAAAGCAAACAATTAATGACACATTACCTTCCCAGCACTCTCTAGCAGCTCAACGGCATGTTTTACTTCAGCCTCGGGCAATGGAGTCATTTTTTGGTTCTCTGAAGCTATCATAGCAGACACAGTCAGTATCAATGATCTGCAAATCATGACATTGTTTTCTTCCACTTGTCCATCAACCATAAAACTATAAAATCCAGAAACCACTCTAAGAAATTCAGCACATAATTCATAGTTCTTTTCCTTCCCACACTTTGTTCCAAAATTCCATGAAGTTACAGCAAACCAATTCTTTTCTCGTCTTCCAACCTCCCCCTTCCCAAAAAAACAGTCAGCTCCAAGCTCAGAAGCTCTGTTGTGTGCTTTTTTCAAGAATTTGAGGACTTCAGCCTCTTTACCGAGGTCCTGAGAGAGAATTGTGACCAATGTGCGTAGCACTATAACTTCCGCTATTGGCATTGTTTTCCCTGAGGTATAAAAGTTAAGCAAGTTGGAAAGAGCAGAAGCCGCAACAGGAAGAGCACGGGAAGCAACAGCTTCATGGGCTGAGAGAGACAGAAAGTCTGGAGTGAAATCAAGACAGGTTATCATTGTTTGTATCTGACTGATAGCACCATCATGGTCATTCTTTTGCAAACAGATTTTGAACTGCATAAATCAGGAGAGTTAATTGATTATCCAGTGACGGACTGACAGTGTTTTTCTTGAGTCCCATATGGGTGGTGTGTGTCAGAGAGAAAGAGAGTACCTTAAGGAAAGCACATATGATGTTTGGATCAAGCTGCAAAAATAGAAAAGAACGGGACAAATCAAAATAGTGCTTGGACCTCTATCATCTTAGAAACTACATTCATAAATCTCAAGATACCTTTTCAGCCTCGTTGACATATTCTTGAGCTCGATCAAGTTGAGTAAGACCAAGGTAGCAAAGACACAAAACTCTATAGCCCTTGGCTCGAAGAACTCTATTCTCTATATCATGTGGTATATAAAGCATAGATTTCTCAAACATCTCAGCACTTGTTTCATAATCTTTCAATCTGAAATTATCTGAACCACTGTAAAGACAAACTTAAATTGAGGTGAGCAGATCTAGCAAATAAGTACTCAATTATATGCTACAGTATTTCTCTCTCATCAAGCGAGTTCAATAGTTTATTGTAACAAGAAAGAACATAAGCATTTTCTTGCAGGGCAAGAGATACCTTGAGAAAGCACCAAGATATTTTGGAGTATGGCAGGTACGATCCTATATCTTTCAGCTGTTGCTGTATAGCCATAATTATCTCTTATATAACAACATAACTTTATTGTCCAAGGTGAATTGTAAGACGAATATGTTTATCAATAAGGTGATTGAATCATTGAAATAAAAATCGGATTGTGCTAGTTGAAAGAAACAATGAAGCAACCAAACTACTCTGGCTATACTCTTATCTAGCTCTGAACAATCAAAAGCAATGCAACTTCATAGTTCTCGTAATAAATCCAGAATAACTAAAAATCCCTTAAATTGAACCTTTATAGAAGCATTTTTTTTCTCAATTAAAACATGCAACCACCAAAAAAAAATGGCGGGTAATCAAGTACCAATCTTACCAATTCCAAAGAACAGCATGCATGGCTGTCCTCTCTTTCGCCACAGATTCACAAGCAAACAACGCAATCACTCTCTCATCCGCCGCCAGCTCCGCCGCCATCTTCGCTCTAATCCTTGACTCCTCAATTCCACCACCGTCACCCACTACCCTGTGAACCACCCTTACAGCAGCGCGTGCACTAAGATGACATCGTCCCAACAACCCCAAAAATACCCCCTTCGCCGTTTCCAACCCCGCATTTCCAGCAGCCTGAAAATAAGTTTCCACTGCAGAGACCCAAACGCCCTCAGGAATCCCTTTATTTAGAACCATTCCCTTCAACTCCTTCTCCGCCTCACTATACCTCCCTAAACCAAGCCACGCCTTCATTGCCAAAACAGGCAACGAAGCGTGGTGATCGCCACTCTCACCACCGTTATCTCTTAAAACTTTAACGCACTTGATCACGCTTTCGAATTCTCCGTTTTGAAGATGGATGGCTGCAATGAAACGCAGCGTTTTGAATTTCAATTCCTTGATCTCCGCTGTTGCTTCTCGTGCTCGTGCAATAGACAATCCTTTCTCGCATAAATCCAAGGCTTCGTTCATAAACTTCAACGCTTCGTTGAAGATACCGTTGTTTTCGTTTTTCGATAGAACAGTTTTAGCGAAAGCTAAGAACTGGTTCGCCAGAGCTTTGAAATGAACCGGAGAACCGAAAAGGAGAGTTTTCGACCGGTTCAGTAGCGTTATCGCCAGATTTTTATCTGAAATCTCCCACGCAGTGCGAGATCTCGCGAGATTCAGATCTAAAAGAAGTTTCCTCTCTCCCGCGTCCGATATTTTCCTTATATCGAGCTTCGAGATGAGATCCGTGGCTCTCTCGAAGCATGTAGAAGCCAGATCGAATATCTTAAGATCGTGCCATACGAGACCGGTCTTGTAATAGAACGAAGAAGATTTGATCACCGGAGAAGGGATTCCGATGACATCTACGGCGAGGGCAAGCATATCGGCTGCCACGTGGCGGAGCTTAGCGACATTTTGAGGAGCGTAATTGGAGGACGGAGAGTGGATGGAGGCGGCGTTCGAGAGATCGACACAGGCGTTCCAGAGACGGTAGCTGAGTTTCCAAAGTTGGAGTTTGAGAGAGTTGTTGGTGGTGGGGAAAGGAGCGAATTGAGTCAGGTGGGTTAAGAGTTGGCGGAGATCGGAAGGGAGCGAGTCGTGTAGTGGAGTCGCAGGTGGGTGAGTCTCAGTTTGTTTGATTTGGAATTCGATTTGAGAGAGGAGGTGATTGTGTTGGTGGTGAGAAGGCGGTTCCGGATCGCATGCGGATTGACGGAGCTCCGGCGTCGATATTTCTGCGATTCTCATTTATTCGTTTTCTGGCGGGAAATTTTGAAAGGTTTGGGAGTGATTTTTTTATTGTAATTTGTAAGGGCAGTAAACTCACAAAAACCTCAAAAACTCAAAATTTTGTAAGGGCAGTAAGAGATTTTTTCTTTTTATTGTAATTTTCAAGGGTCAGGAGTTAAAAAAAAAAAAAAAAGGCATTAAGAAAGAGTGAGTCCAAAAAATGGCATTTTTTGAAAGAAAAAAATTATGTTAATTTTAATTTATATTTATATTTATATTTATATTTCAATTACTCGTTTACTAATTAATATATATTGACTAAAATTTTTTTATCTTTACATATGATATTAAATGATTTGTCATTTTTTAATTTATAGTAATTTTCATAAATATGTTAAAAAACTTGTGACCCGAGGCCAAAAAAATTTTAATTACTAATAAAAGGTAATCAACCAAAATTAGAAAGGAATTTTTGAGATTTTGATTAGATGATGTTGATTGAATGTTGAAATCAAACTTATTGCTTTTGTTTTTTTTATGATTTAGACCCTTCAAGTGTTAGTAAAAATTTAGATGAAATTTTTTAAATAAAATTTATAATTTTTTTAAATAATTAAAATAATAATTAAAATAAAAAGTTTAAATTAATAAATTAAAAAAATGTTGCGTAAAATTTGAAAAAAAATTAATTTTTTTATATATTTTTAGATAAGATTTTTTTATAAAAAATTTGAAAATTTTTTCATCAAATAAATATTAATAAAATGTAAATTATAAATAATATTTTCAACAATTTTTTACATATTATTAATTTTCTCATTAAATTTTATTAATTTATTTTTTATTTTTCTCATTAAATTTTATCAATTTATTTTTTATTGAACTCTATCAATCCATCCATTTGAAATTTTTATTAACATTTTTATTAGATCATTCTTTGTTGGAAACTTCATAAACTACATCTAAAACTCCTCGTCTAAGTTTTGCCCTCGTGCGAAGCATTGAAAAAGAAAATCGAAACCAATGTTGTTTATGAATGCTCCTCTCCTTGATTTCATATGTTGTTCTTGTTTGTAGGAGTTGGCCATGCCAACTATAATTCAATCCGGAGAACGGTTGGAATCCTTCATCTAGCATACCAAACACAGCCCTATGCAAATTACAACAACCCATACCAAGATACCAACAAAATACAAAAGAATAAAACAGAGGACATACATACAAAAACAGAGTGCATATATTAGAGGATCAAATTATCTTCTTGTACACCAGATTAAAATTAACAAGACACTTTTTTTTTTGGTTTTTTTAATGCTAAACTCATTCATACACTGCAATGTGGAAGGTTAAGGCTAACAGCTAAAGTGAGAGGATCACAGTCACCTTTTTACCATGTTTGGAAATTAGTGAAGATACGGAGCCTGATACTGATAGCCGTTTCCGAAGTAGTTCCCATGACTGGGAGAGAAGTTGTAGGTGGCAGAACCAAGAAGAGAGGGGCCATGGTTGTCAGCAGGTCCAGGGTAAACATAGGGTCTGTCATACACGTACTGCAGGTACCTATCGGTGACTCTCGGATAGAATGTTTTGTCAGCAGCTACGTTAGTGACTCGTGGACCATATCCTGCACCATTAGCGCGAGGTCTCTTGGGTTGAGGCTTTGTGGCTTCAGTTTCCCTCCTCTTGTCTGCCTTAGCCTTCTCTAACAGAAAAACCCGCTTCTGAAGTGGATCAACAGGGTATTGCACCTCAAGATTATGCTCCTCAATGCACTTGATCACAGCCTTAAGAGCAGTCAACTCTCGCTCATTAACCTCAGTCTGAAAACACAAGAAAGTATTTCAGCCATTTTCCAAAATGCAGCAGGAAATAAATTACAAAAAAAAAAGGCTCATGAACATGAATATTGGCAAAATATTTTCATGCATTCAAGTCACAAAGAACAAATCTGCCTTCTGGGCCACATCCAAACAGATGCTAAACAATTTTAATACCAAAATAGTGTCAGTTTGCTAAAATCTATTGAAGTGGGAACTTACTAGCCAAATCGACCTATATGATCAGACAAGACCCAAGAAGGTTAGAATGGCTAAGTGGCCAGAAAGCTGGTCAACTCTGCTTCAGACAAGGCCGTGTAGGCAAAAACAAAACTAAGCGCTTGTCCCTCAAAAAAAGGGTTAAGTATGGTCAACCTAAATATATTCAGCCAATATTACGAAAACCAATTGCCCTAAAGTAGTGGAGTAAAGAACACACCTGAGCAGTGAGAGAGGCATTTCCCAGTCTGACAGGTGAAGAAGCTTTTTTTGCCTCCTTCAAGTACGATTTCAGTAAAGGTACAGGTGAGAACTGCTCTGTAAGCTCAAAAGCAAAAGCCAGGTTAACGGCATCAATCTGCCTTCCATTATTCACCAGAAGTTCAATTACACCTAACATATAAAAAAAAGAAAAGATAAATAAAAGAAAGGGAAGTACAAATTAACTAGCAGCAGTATAAATGAGAGAAATGATTGATTTTCAACAACAGTATTCCATACTTTTAACCCCACACTTCTTGTTTTAAGAGCTTTAGTAATACTGTTCAAGGGAGGAAAAACAATATAGTTTATCACTGCTTCTCTTCATTCCAAACAATTCATACCAAAGGACACCTATCTAAAACTTCCATTCAAAGTTCATAAAAAGGCAGAATGGTCCACTCAACTCCAAAACAGCATTTCAACAATGATATAGTTTCAAAAATATCTAAACTTTAGGAAAATGCCTATCAGTTCAAGAGCAAAGATGAGTTTTCCTGCGGTCAATGGCTTGAAGTCACCCACATTAGGGGGAATAGGAAAAGGCAGTTAATTTACTAGGTCTCACTTGGCATGGTTAGTCATATCAGTTTTATTAAAATGCAAGGAAAGAAACATAATTGGATGAATGGAACGTAAACCATGGGGTAAATAGAGATACTCAAGCTCGGTTTTCAGAATCATTGTAGTTTTTCACATAAACATGTATTCTATATAAATGTTACTATGTAAGTTGATACCACACAAACCTGACATTTTTTCAGACAAACCAAGGGAACGGGTGAGATCAGCTGTTTGTCGACGACGAGAGACCATTGGTATCAGCCTTGAAAGTTCTTCTTCATTGAAGTCAGATGCAATACCAAAAGTGGCGAGAAGTTGCAGGAAAGCATGAGCTTCCAATGAGTTACCATTACTAGCATCGTCAAGAGCATCCAACTTTGGTTTCCATTCCGCAGCAATTAACTTTGCTTGCTCCTTAATGTCTTCAGAGATTACAGCAGAAGCAGAAGCCATATCCAGATTACTTAGCAAAAAGCTAAGACATTCCATCAACATGATACATGTTCGCCTAAGACCCAGTAGATTTGAATCTTTCTTTCCATCCACACTTGGCACTTCTGAAGGGTAAAATCCTTCCAAAGATTCCAGGATCATGCAGGCTGGGCTTGCTGAAGCTTTCAATGCCCAAGGAATTTCCTCCTTTAGGGCAGCAAGGTTCTTACGATTATCTGATATAAACTTGTGCAGTCCTTCAGAGTCCATCTCTTCACATAGTTTTACCAATTGGGGATAAGATTTCACCTCGAAATTCCCATTCTCAAAAGAACTTTTGATGTCCTCCAAGTTACTTTCAGAAGCTACAGAATCAGGTGGTTTCTCCTCAACTGAGAGTTCACCGCTGTCTCCATCACAGCTGACATCAGCAGGCTCCTCAGATGATAATTTCCTATGCTTCTCTAGAGCATTAGTAATGGCAAAAACAGCAGCATCTCTCTTTTCTTGTAACCTCACCAATGAATCTTGTTCTTTGGCTACAACAGCTGCTTCACGCTTCTGCAACATTTCTCGAGCTTTCCTTGTTTTTTTCTCAAACTCCTTTTCTTGGTCTTCCAACTCATGGAAGCGTCTCTTCAAGGACTTCTCAAGCCCATGGAAATGTTCCTCAAGTTCTTTCCATTTTAGATTAAGTGTTATAGCACGATGACTTTCAAGTTCAGCAAATGCTTTCTGAAGCTGCTGTATCTTAGAGGTTGTCGAGTCTATAAGTGTTGCAACTGAGTGTGTATCATCCATGGCATAAAACCTGATAGAGAAAGATATCAGCAGAGATCAATCCCCCACTGCAGTACGAGAGAAAGAATGTAAAACCAAACAGATTTTCTAGAGTACAAAATCCTTCTAAAGGGAAAATGAACAGAAAACATAAAAATAAGAAACTGAATATCATCGAAGATAAAGTTCAACATAAATGTTTTTTCTTTCAAAGAATTGAACATTGTCTGTGACCAAAAATAATAAGTTACTAATCAAATATAGCAATATAAACTGATGAAATGTAATGAAGTTAAAAAGCATCAAAGTTAAAGGACTTATAAAGTTTTATCCATAACCTGGGCAAAATATCACAGCTATGTTTAGAAGCAATCGAAAGAATAGATTCCTTAGCAGTCACCAAAAAGATATCTCACTCGGTAACCGTCCAAAGAGAACACTTTTATACAAAAGTGCATGGTTATTACTTTTTCTTTTCTAGAAGCAGAAAACAAAGTCATGACAACATACAATCTTTCTTCTAAGTTAACTACGAACTAACCCCTCTATAATAAATGATGATTGCACCAAGTGCACCAGCAGACATTGGAGTAGATTTTGCATTTAAAGTATGAGGAACATTTACAACAAGTAGCCTCAGCAACAATGCAACAACAAAAATGGGTGGAAAATGAAAATCAATAAGACAACTTCAGAAGACAAGGTGAAAACCAAGATGCAACCACTAAGGAACTCTTCTAAGCATCTTAATTCCCAAAAGGATCAGACCACTCCTTAATGACACTTTCCACCTTGAATGAAATATCCTTCCCACACTTTTCACAATAAGTAATAAAGTCATTGAAGTCATAGCTACACATCCTTCTAAACTTTCCAAGTATGCAGACCACAGACACTTACAACAATAAGCATTTAATATTTCAGTATTCACAAAAAAAGGAGGGATAGGGGTTGTGGAGAATCTGCTGCTTGAAATCAATTAATCCATTGTAAAAGTTGTGCTTAGTAACATTGCAGAATGGTGTACTTCTAGTCACAACGGTGCCAAAAATTTACACTAGTAAGGGGCAATCCTTCACTCTAAATCAAAAAAGGAAAACAGAGGCATCACAAGCTATCATTTTCAATACTTTGCAATCCTTCACTTACTCACCACACCCAAAAGTCAAAACATAAAATAGAAAGCGGCCAAGATGACAGGATCGCCATCAGAATGTTACTGTTAACCCCTCTATCAATAGAGATAAAGCGCACATCAGGAAAAGTCAGTACAACAGCTAAGTAACCAAACAAAATTTCCCATCAAAATCCCACTGGACCCATTTTCTAAAATAATTGTAGCACTCTTGATTGGAAAAGGAAAAAATGTAATGGAATGCATCCAAATTCCATCCACAGGCCAACCATCTAAACAGACAGCCTCCTCTAGACAATCTCTGCAATATTTTCTACATATATATTTCTAAATTGGTTCCCCAACCATGATACTCTTCCTTCATTAATCTCCAATAACTAATTCCAAAAGCAGCAAGTTTTATCTTGAATCAGAACGAAATCCCATCCTCAAATATTAAATGTTACTTCATGAAAGAGACTTCTAGTAATCCTCTCACAGCAATGAGTACTTCCAAAAAAAAAATTTAGATCACAATTATCTAAGCTCCCTTTTGGAATATATTGAGTTTCAGCAAACCAAAACAATTCCTATTTCCCAATTCTAAAATGGCCTAACTCAATAAGTACCACTTAAAAGAACCTCAATTACATTAATAACAATCAAACAGATAAACATCTTTCCAAATTCAATTAGTATAATTTCCCCATTATTAATTATTAAGTTCAAAGTACACATTGCTTTATTCCATAAATAGAAACAAACCACAATTTAAACCCTGGGCCAAATGCCATAAATAAATGCGAGAGAGAGAGAGAGAGAGCTCCAGCTTAACCCTAGAAAGCCTAAAAAGAACTCATCATCTAAAAACAACAAAAAAGAAATCAGAATCAGAAGTATAAAATTTTACATTAAAGAAGTAGCCGCTATCGCCAGTGATTTTACAAGCTTCAAATTCACAGAAAGACAACCGCCGACCCAGAGATCGTAAACACTAAACCACCCAAAATCACCAAACCCTAAAAATAAAGAACACAACAGAACAGTTGAAATTTTCAATTTTACTGCACAACCCAAACAAAAAATACGAAATTTAGCACGTCAAAACGAAGCTTCAAAAAAAAAAAAAAAACCAAATTTGAAGAAAAAATGGAGGGAATTTTTTTTTATTTTTCAGTGGTGAAAAAAAAAAAGAAAGAAAGTACCGATCCGGAGAGGAGTGAAAACGAAAGGAAAAGAAAGGAATAGCGATGGAGAGAGAAAATTACCTGATTGATTCCAAGGGATATGGAGTAACAAAGTGAGCTAATTCGATGGAGATTCGAATTATCAATCCATTTTTTGGGGTTTTTTTTTTTTTTTAAAGAGGATGGATGTGTGTGGCTGCTACTACTCTTCAACCCCTAGAGAGAGAAAGAAAGAGAGGAAAAGAGAGTAAAGTCCTTAGAGCTAAAAGCTAGTGTTTTCAAGCACTGCAGTACACAGCCACTTCTCTCAAACGCTCGCTCTCTTTCCTTCTATTTTGCTTTTCCTGGAGCACTCTTGTTTTTGCTGTTGGACATTAAAGAATGTTGCTGCAGTTCGTTGTAAAGTTAAGTCTAACTGGTGGGGTGTTAGTGACCTTCATGGGTGCTCCTAAAGTTGTGCCATGTTTGATTCTGACAAAGATTTGCTTGAGGCATGTTGGGTGTAGGTTCTTGTACCCACCTTGTCTGAATAAATTTAACGGGTTGGGCTTGGCCCAATAACAAAATCATTAAAGATTTTCTCAACACCCTCCTAACCCCCCTTTTTTTTTTTTTTTAACAGATCAAATGTGTCCTCCAATCATGTTACAGGTCAACTCCACCTCATCAAACCATAAAATTCCTCGACATAAACCATAGTTTTTAGTTTGATTAATCAAATAGCTTAAGAAAAGGCTGATAACAGGACATTCAATCATAATTTGAGGGCATTAGAAACAAGTTATATTAGTTCAATCATTGTTTTTTTTTTTTATTGTGTTTGTATTATTTATAAAAACTATCAAAATTTTCATTGAATCTCCTTCATTCACTCCTTTTTATATACTCAAATAAATAAATAAAAAAAACCATCTCCTATTTGAATTAGTCGAAATTTACAATTTTTTTTCAAATTTTTAATATTTTCATTTAAATCTCATTCCTCTTTTTTTTCCTTTCGTGAAGGAAAGCTGTATCAAAGACTTACACGAGTTTTGCAACTTTTATGTTTCTCCATTGTTTTCAACGCTGCCTTGGTACCTTGAATGTGAAGCCCACTTTAGAAATTGCAGTCTCTCTCTTAACTTGGAAAAAGGCAAAGTGAACGGTTTCACAATTAATAAGTAGGGTCGTCCAATTCCGTATTTGTTGGATTTTGACATCATTTTATAAGATTTTTTTTTTAAACTAAGATTCATATCAAAGTGTGTTTGAAGAAAGAAAAAATCGCGGTTGGATAAATATCGGGTTTTATATAAACCTATCTCAATTCCATTTGGTATATATATTATTTTTTATTATTTTATTTAATTTTATATTTATATATATTTTATAATTTTTATATTTATTTAATGTTATATTTTATATTTAAAAAATAATATTTTATATTAAAATTTTAATATTTTATTAATTTCAAGTAAAATCGGATCGATTACGAATTTAAACATATACTAATCGAATTAAATTTAACTATAAAAAATAATATTTTAATATTAGATCGGATCAAACTTTTGTATTAAATTTATAAAATCCGAATGGATTCAAAACAAATAAAAACTCACTTCAACCCTACCCATTGCTATTTCTACTAATAATTAATGAGTTTCATAGTTAGATCATGAGATAAAAAAAAAAAAAAGAAGTTTATAAGTTAAAAGAGAACTATCTTTTTTCTTTTCTACTAAAATTTAGAACTCAATAAACCTTTTTATGTATTAAAATCATAGTTGTTAATTTCGTTTTGATATCGATCGATATGTTATAGTTATATCAAAATACAATATGTCTAATGATACTTTTTGTATCAGATTTTGTATCGAATAATACTGGTTATTTTCATTAATTTTAGAGAATTTTGATGTAATAGTATGTTAGCTTTATAGGTTAGATTGTGATAAAAGAATGAGTGAATTGAATCTTTTCCAAATTATTTCCAAATAATGATTTCAATATAGTTGAATGAAAATTAAGACAATAAGTTCTTTTGATGAAAATATAATGAAGGCAATAACAATCAATGAATTTAAAATCAAATATGAACAACAATAAATTATAAAGAGATAAGGATAGAGAAATCAAATACAATAATTTATAGAGGTTCGATCATTCTCCATAAGGCACTTATGTCATCTCTCTTGGTTGTCCACACCAAGGCTCAAATCTACTATGTGTTGAAAATTACAAACAAGCTTCTCCAAGCTTTACAAACTCAACACAATACACTCTTAAGGGTTATCCTTCCCTTTAAGTTTACAATCACACAATACAAAATTTTAAGTGTTTGGCAAATTCTAAAAACCTCTCAAAGGTTGGGTATTTACTAATTTGAAATACACAAAGGTATAGACAAGACAAAGATGAATGAATAACAAAAAGATAATTTGGATACAATGAATGCAAGGATATAGACTTTGAAGCTCTAAGAACTCTTGATTATTTTAGAAAAAGAAAATATTGCTTGTTAGCTCTTACTCTCTTGATTCATCTTGTTTCTTTTACTTCTTGATGTGTTGGAGTGTCCAATTTATAGAAAAATTGAGAAACTATCCGTTGGGGAAGCTTGGAGTGAATAAATGCCCATTGAAATGATGAAAAAATAGCCATTGGAGGTCTTCACGCCCAAAATCGATCGATCCCTTCTTGAGGGGATCGATTGGTTCATGTTGGTTCAAGCATGTTTTTGTACTTGAAAAGCCTTACTCGATCGATCCCTTCTTTGAAGGATCGATCCCTTGCTTTGGGTGATCAATCCCCTATGTGGGAGGATCGATCCATTTTTTGAATTTTCAGCTTGGGGGGCATTCTGTTTGAGGAAGCAATCGATCCCTTCTAGAGGGGATCGATCATGTCCAAGCTGGTGGTTATTTCTCATTCTATATTATACTCACTAATTTGATCATAACTTGAGTTATACAAATTCAAATCACAAACCATTTGAATATTTAAAAACTAGACTTAAATGGCTTTCGATCTATATAAAGTTCATCATCTAATTCATTGTGTACGAATTATAGTGAATTTTCAAAGCTATCCCTTATGCAGTTTCTGGACAACTGCAATGTGTCTAGTAAAAATTTAAAATCTTTTCTTAGAAAATTTGGATTTTCATTTTGTTTAATCCATTAGAAAGTAGACTCAAAAAGCTTTTCAACCATATAAAATTCAAGTATTAAAACCTTGTGAATTTATACAAAAAAAAAAATAAGTTCAATGTTAAAAAACTTTGTTATTGTAAAAACAACTTTCCTAACTTAATCTATTTCTCAAAACCAATTTTATCAAAATTGTATTAAGTCCAAAATGAATAAGTTCACTTTAAAAACAATAATTGAACTTTCATTTAATCTCAAATAAATAATCTTTAAAGGTGGATTTGATTTGAGAAATATGACACCAAAAAAAGTTTGTTTAAACTTTGAAAATCATATTATTTATTTAGTACAAAAATATAAAACTTAAGAATATGTACTAAATAAATCTTTTTTAAAATCTTGATCAAGTTTATTTAGCTTTAATGTTTTATCATTTCAAAATAGTGATCAATTCAAGACTAACATAGTATATTTCGAGTGGTACGTAAATGTAAAATATATTTTGTAATTTTTAACTTTTTTTTTTGTTGTTTTAATAACAATAAAATCAATTGACAAAATAAATTTTGAAAATTTAGTTTCTTTATTTTTTTATTTTTTATATTTTATTTTTTTCAAACCAAAATTTTGTATTTTATATTTTATTTTTTCAAACCAAAATTTATAAGTGTTTTAATTTATTTCAATAAAACAATTATACTCCCTTTATAAAGTTTAACAATCATAAAACATTGGTTAATTTTTTTCATATCTTTATTTTTATCTTAATATTTAAATAAAAATACTTATTTAAATATTATATGATCAGATTAAGTATTTAAAAATATTACAAAAATTTTATGATATTATTTCTTTTATTTTAAACTTATCTATTTGATTTTTAAAGATATTGCATATTTATTTTATAAATTATTAATAACATTATAATATACAAGTTCATGCATATTTATAAATATATATATGTACTAAATAAAAAAATTTAAAATAATATATCAAAACAATTGATGTCAATATATATTATATATATTTTTAAAAAGTAAAATATTATTTGATACGAAATTAACAATATTAATTGAAACATTTGATTATTAATTAAAAAAAATTATTTGCCAATAAAATAAAGTTGTTTCCTTTCTTAATTTCAATAATTTATATTGCTATTCCATTTGGACACTCACAATTAAAAAAAAAAATTACATAGTTTGAAGACAAAAAATTTAAGTGTTAAAAGTTTAAATTTAATAGATATTATTTTTTTAAAAAAAAATTACTGCCAATAAAATAAAGTTGTTTCCTTTCTTAATTTCAATAATTTATATTGCTATTCCATTTGGACACTCACAATTTAAAAAAAAAATGCATAGTTTGAAGACAAAAAATTTAAGTGTTAAAAGTTTAAATTTAATAGATATTATTTTTTTAAAAAATAATTACATTAATAAACTGAAGCCCCCCGTTACAGTTCACTTTTCGCCCGCCCTCACAAGTAACTTCTTTTTGTTTTGTGGCAGTAGTAATTTCTAAGCACAAATTTTCAACGGAAAGCAAGTCAAGCAAGGAGCACTAAGAAGTCTTTGGCCCCTTTTGGACTCCAGTCGTCTCCTCCATAGCTTGGAAAAAGAAACAACCAAAGATTTTAAACTGGTCATTCCTTGTTTGACCCGATCATACCCAAAAAAAAAAAAAAAAACCTTTGGTTCACGCTCTTTTAACACATATCTCACTTAATTTTTTTTCTTTAAAGCATTTAATTTTGTGTTTTCAATTATGCTTTCGAATAATTAACCCATGATGTAGACTTTCCTTTGTCTTTCTCTTGTTTCCTTTATGAACTATTAGGGTTTTTCTCTCCTAGTTTCTCTGTGGAAAAGAAGGATGCTTCCTTCTAGTTTCAAATACCCTTTTGCCTTGTCTTTTATATTCAGAAATCTGAGGTGGGTCTTTGAATTTTTGTTTCAAAGTTTCATTTTTTTTTATCCTTTTCTAGGTTTTGTTGATATTCTCATATATCAATCAGAATCTAATCGCAGCTGGGCCGCTTAAGTTTCTCTGCGTAAAGCTTCTATCTTTCGTGTTAATCATTGTGATTTTGGTGGTTTATCACCTCAAGTAATGTTCTTTGTGCTCTTTTTTCTTGGATATATATGAAAGATGAATTTGATTTTTTTCTTTCTGTTTCCTTTTTTTTTTTTTTTTAACTTGTTTCAGGTTTAATGTTAGGAGAAGTATGGTTTAGCGGATTTGGCATTTAATCTCTGTCAACTGTTGTTAGCTATACAAGTGGGTTTCTGTAATCCACCATTTCAGTTTCGATTTGAGGGGTTTCTTCATAATCATGGTGTTGCATAGCCGAGTTTTTGCTGTCCTTGTCAGTGTTTTCCTATGGTTATTGCTTGGCCGTAGTTTGAGCTATGCTTCTCTAGATGATATCAATTGTTTGAAGAGCATCAAAGATTCGCTTAAGGACCCCTTTAATTATTTAAGTTCTTCATGGGATTTCAACAACAATACTGAAGGGTTTATTTGTAGATTTATGGGGGTTGACTGTTGGCACCCTGATGAGAATAGGGTTCTGAATATCAAGCTTTCAGATATGGAACTCAAGGGTGAGTTTCCTGCAGGAATCATAAAATGCAAAAGTTTGACAGGCTTAGATCTTTCAAGCAACAAACTCTATGGAAGTATTCCATCTAATATCTCTGAACTTCTCCCGTTTGTCACTTCCCTTGATCTCTCTTCTAATAATTTCTCTGGAGATATCCCAAAAGGCCTCGCAAATTGTAGCTTCTTAAACATTTTGAAACTTGACCATAACAAATTGACGGGTCAGATTCCTGCAGAACTCGGTTTGCTCAGTAGGATGAAAACGTTTAGCATAGCTAATAATCTCTTGAGAGGGCCAATTCCAATTTTTCGGTTTTCATTATCAGCAGATAGTTTTGCAAATAATCCAGGACTGTGTGGGAAGCCTTTGGATCCATGTCAGTCGACTTCAAAGGGCGGTAAAACTGTAGTTATTGCTGGAGCTGCTGCTGGTGGGGTGACAGTTGCTGCTATAGGTGTGGGTATTGGAATGCTCGTCTATTTCCGCAAAGTATCTGTCAAGAGGAAGAAGGATGATGATCCAGAAGGAAACAAATGGGCAAAGAGCTTAAAGGGAGCTAAAGTCATTAAGGCAAGCTAAATTTAATATATCTATATCAGATTGGAGCTAATACTCTTCTTTTCTTTATGAAACTGCTATTAGTTTTTCTTTCTTTGATTATAATTGTATCTGTGATGTACTTATAAGGTAATGCTATTTCAGGTTTCCGTGTTTGAAAAGTCAGTTTCCAAAATGAGATTAAATGATCTTTTGAAGGCCACTAATAGTTTCAGCAAAAATAATATCATCGGGTCAGGAAGAACAGGGACTATGTACAAAGGAGTCCTAGAAGATGGCACCTCACTAATGATTAAGAGGTTACAGGATTCTCAACACTCTGACAAAGAATTTTCATATGAGATGGCTACTCTGGGAAGTGTGAAACATCGTAACTTGGTTCCCCTTTTAGGTTTCTGTGTGGCGAAGAAGGAGAGGCTTTTAGTTTACAAATACATGGCAAATGGTAGTCTGAATGATAATTTGCATCTTGTGGATGATGCTAAAAAGCCTATGGAGTGGTCCTTAAGGCTTAAAATCAGTATAGGGGCTGCTAGAGGATTTGCATGGCTCCACCACAACTGCAATCCTTGTATAATTCATAGAAATGTAAGCTCTAGGTGCATCTTACTAGATGCAGATTTTGAGCCCAAAATATCTGATTTTGGTCTTGCTAGGCTCATGAACCCAATTGATACACATCTGAGCACCTTCGTGAATGGTGAGTTTGGGGATTTGGGTTATGTTGCCCCTGAATATACGAGAACGCTGGTCGCCACTCCAAAAGGAGATGTCTACAGCTTTGGAATTGTACTTCTCGAGTTGGTGACTGGTGAGAGACCTACCTATGTAGCCAAAGCGCCTGAGAGCTTCAAGGGGAATCTGGTAGAATGGATTACACAACTATCAAATGATGGCAAACTTCATGATGCTATTGACACATCCTTGGTTGGGAAGGGTGTTGATAATGAACTTTTCCAATTTCTTAAAGTTGCATGTAATTGTGTATTGCCACCTGCCAAGGAGAGGCCTACCATGTTTGAAGTATACCAGCTTTTAAGAGCTATTGGGGAGCGATACCATTTTATCACTGAGGATGAAATTTTGATGCCTTCAGATACTGGTGATACTGATTATTTGGAGGAACTTATTGTTGCACGATAAGTCAGGAGAATAATTGAAGAGGTATGAGATTTGGTGAGTAGTTCATCATGGCAGAGTGCATGTGTATTTGTTCTTGTGCATGTTTAAATAAAGGTTGAGATTACATGTACTTCTGATGCTTTACTTACCATTTTCAACTTTCTACATTTCGTACTCACTATAATGGCATCAATTATAGCTTTTAGGCATCTATGTTAGGTCTTTTGTGTCTTTTATTTCATATTAGAATCCTTGATTAGTGTCCTGGAGGTCTTCTCCTGAGGCTTTCTCCCTAAATTATTGTGTATGTAGAATGATTAGATTCACACCAAGCAAATGGTACATGTAATGCAAGTTAGATCAATCTATAACGGTGGGATTTCTGTTTTTCATATTCGCTAATGTGATCTTATATCCGGCTGAGTGCTTTCTCCATCTATCTGTGTACAAAATGATAAGATTTACATCAAGTGACTGCTTTAGGCAACATAAGCTAGACAACTTACAATTGTGGGACTTTTAAGTCTTTTCCCTGTCTTGCTTTTAATTGATGAACTGTGTGCGTCACTGCTGTTCCTGTTGCATATTAATCTTTAATTTGGCACACAACACTAATAACACAATTCTCTCGTGCACTGTTGAGAATTTATGTGCACCTGCATGAATGCCAGCATGCAAGTAGCACTGTTCAGGCTACAGTGAGAGTTAAAATTGAATAACTACCAAAATAAAACTTCTAGATGTATGCATGTTTTCTTGATGATACTACTGTATTTACAACAACCTTCTGCTTTTCCATTTTACTTGAGTAAATTGCATCAGACAACCATCACCTTTGTGCAATATTTCTTTTTAATCTTCAATCTTTAAAACATTTTTTTGAATCGGTGACCATTTAAAAATGCTCCAAATTCATCCCTTCCACCAACTGCCATTAAAAACCGACAGAACTTTCCACCTCAACACCCCATGGCTGTGCATATAGAAGTCCATGTGGCAAAAATAGGTCTGTCAATGTCCTTGCGGCAAAAAAGGTATGCTAGTTTGACTTTTTGGGCTGGGCTTTACGCCACATGAACTTTCACATGATTCTCAGGTGGCATATTCCAATGATTTTTTATGATGATTCAAGGAGTGATTGGTTTGGAACATTTTTAAAAGGTCATGTATCCAAAAATTTAGTTTTAAAGGTTGCATATGAAATGTACACAAAAATCACAAATGATCGGTGCAATTTACTCATTTTAGTTAGTAACTTTAGCTATTATAGTTATATTTCTTTGTTTTGTGGAGAGCTATAAAAGTACGTGTACTGCTGTATGGCTATAATGTTTTAGTTTTCTCTTATTGGAGGCTCGATCCCCTTAGTGTTCAACATTTTTTGTCTTGATTTTCTCTTCTAAATATGTCTGTACCGTATCACTCACCTTCTGCATTTTTGGCTTCAGTTTGAGTGCATATGTAACTAAAAACACACAGGAAGACACGGGTATATTATACACTACTAGATTTGGTATGAATCTTACTACATGGGTTTCTTGCCTTCTTGTCTCCACCCATAATTAATCCATAATCCGCTGATAAATGGTGATGTCAAATTCAATCGGATATGCGCTGGTTAGGTTTGATCAAGATATTTTGCCTTATTCTAGTACTCTTATTAAACAGAAAGAGCAAAATGGTTTAGTTCTTCAATCATGAAAGTAGATTTCTGCTGCTTCTTCCTTGTATAGTTCTTGCTTCTCAAGAATGACTAACCTTTTTTCTTGTTCTGGTAATTTTAGGAGTCCTAAGTCTCATTGCCACTCTTTTTGTGGCATAAATTGCTTGGCTTATTTCCATTTATTTAATACTTAACAGTGTCATGTATGCCATTTTTCCTTTAACGATTGACTTCAAAATTATTCAGAAGAAATCACAAGATAGTAAAGGTATTAATTTTAAAACCTTATGAGGTAAACTAATGGATGGATGGTTCTAGTGACAAAGGAAGTGTTTTCTCTTTTTTGTTGTCCGAGTTTGAATCTGTCGAGGAATTGTAGAAAGATAATTTTTAATGAATTAATTGGATCTAGCGTATATAAGTTTGCTTGGACCGTAGTTTTTTTTTTTTTTTTTTGTAATTTGCCCTTCTCTTATTAAATATTTGAGTTAAATTTCCTCTGCACTAGGGGTTGTTTGTCAATCGCCACACAGCAAACTGTTCAGCATCCATCATACCACGATCTTTGTTTTTTTGTAAAATTTGAGGACTTTGTTTCAACTACATTCGACTCCCAGGTAAAAAGCACATGCACAATCATTTGCAGAGGTCTTGGATTCAGTTAAAAAAAAAAAAAAATCAAAGCTCCACCATTAATTAGTCTTTATGGATTCTCAATTTCTCATCCATTGTTCTGCCAAAATATAATAATGGATGATAATATTTTTTATATAATTTCCTCTCCAGTTATAGTTGCATAAAAAAAAAAATGATTGAAGACTAATTTGATCAAAATTGAATAAATTTTGATATGTTGTTTAAATAAAATGTTTTATTAAAAATTATGATAAATTTTTTATTGTTCAAACTTCAAATAAGTAATGATTAAATTTTGTTTATTAATAATTTATTCATTATATTTTACATATTAACCGATATTTTCATCGAATTTTATTATTTTTGTTGATTCTAATTTTCAAAATTAATTTTTATTTTAGTACTAATGAAGAATTTAAGAAACTTTTATCTATTCATGGATGTGATTTTGATAAATTACAAAAAAATAGAAGAGAAAAAATTTTAATTACAAATTAGAATGCTGTAAGGGGAAAGCCAGCGGAGGTCACACCTCCACGCTTCACCCCCTTTTCAACGATCTCCTAATAGGCATTCCGATGCTGATGTTATAATCAGTGATTAAGGAAAAAAAAAATCAATCCATACCGACCCATACACATCGAGTGTAATAAACATTAATTAGAGACATGAGATTACTTAATCCAATGGAAGCAGGTTACTTCATCTCAAAATTAGGGTATATGTATTAAAGCAAGGATTTTCATTGGGCCTATCTACCGTACATAAAAAGAAAATTGTTGAATTTGATAATCGAATTTATAATTTATAAATAAAGTAATCGATTTTTATTGATTCAGTTAACTTTTACAAAAATTAAACCATACAATAATTTATTGAGATTAATTTGAGTGGGATAACCATATTTTGGTCACGGCAAAAAAAAAAAAAAGAAGGTAGCACGTCCTTTTAATTAAAGTCTTTTTGGACAAAATTTGTTGAATGTGCCATTGAAATGGAAGTCTTTACGCTAATTTCTTCGACGTAAAAATAACCTTGGTGTCCTTTCTTCTTTTTCGGTGCAAATCATATGACTAAGGGATTGAAAACGTATTTCAAAATTCCCCCTCCAAGAAAGTGAAAGATTAAATTGATTTGTTTTTTATACATTTGCTACAGTCTAACGATGGAAGGAAATTCTTATATGTCGGTCCATTAATCGTTATGCTAAAATTAACCATCAACAGATAAAATGGCAACGTAAAAATTTTATTTTGAATATGAAGAAGGCCTTCCATGCTTCTTGTAATATAAGAGAACAGTATTTATATTTTTTATATAAAAATTATTAAATATATCGACAATAAAATTTTTAAATTTCATAAATAAAATTAATAAATTAATACATTTAAAAGTATATTAAGAAATTTTATGTCTATGAATCTCTTAATTTCATTTATAAAATTAAAAGTATTAAATAATTTATCTTTTAAAAAGGATGTATCCGACGAGGAACTCTTTGTACAATGGGATTGTCAAAACGTGAGGAATGGAAAAACGATGACGCGATCGTGATTAAAACTCAGCCGGCGTGGTAGTTTGATCATTGTTATTTTATCAACCTTGGCAGGCAAAAGATAATCTGCTTTAATCTCGGGAGACTTCTGATTGGCTAAAACTATTGTCTTGGATGTTTATTTATTTTATTGTTGTTTTGCAGCTGTTGGTTTACGATTTTCGGTTACTTTTGTGGAGCGTATTTGCAATAGATTACTTCTGTTCTGCCTTTGCTAGTTACAACCTTTCTAGCTTTTTTGGCTTTTAATTATTTCGCTGACAAGCAACTGATGAATTGAATTTAAACAAGTAACCCAGAATCCAAAAGGAATAGACAAATATAAAGTCAATTTTCAGGGATTGTTTGATCGCACAGAACGGTGATACGGGACTTTCTCACCGTACAGAATTTTTAATTTTCATTGCACTCAATTTTGGATTTTTTGTTTAATTAAATAAAATTTTAAATTTTAAATAATTATTAAATATTTAATATTTTATTAATAAATCACTCGATTATTTTCATCCGAAAAGCAATTTTCAAAAGCTTGGTGTGGTGAGGTATCGGATCACTCCATCCCATTCAGCATTATTAAGTCTTTTTGGATTCCTAATTTATCATTGATTGTATTTCTTTTCGTGGTTAAAGTTATGCGAATCATTGATTAATTTTTCAATTCTAATTCATCGAATTTTCAAGGTTAAATTATAATTCAATAATAATTTACGTTTTTTATATTTTATTATAATTAATCAATTTTTTATTTTTATTTAATTAAATATTTAATTAGACAAGTAATTTTTAAATTATAACCAATTGAACTTTTAGAAATATCTTACAGAAAAAGTTGGACAGAAAATATAAAAAAATTAAAAATTTATTTTATTTAATTTTTACATATATTAATTACGACAAACTTTTATTTATTTTATCTGTCACATAAAATTTTATTTTAATTAAAAAATTGAAGGTTATTAATTTTTCATCACAATAAAAATTTAATTAGATACAAATAAATATTATAGGGATGATTAATTTCAATACAAAAAATTTAAATTTAAATAATTTTTTAAAGTATAATTCAAGATATTTTTTACACTTTTAACCTATTGGGCGGAATGCTTATTGATGCAACTATTAGGCGAGTACAGGATCATTATGCAGCGAGTGCTATGAAACACGAGCTTATTCACTCAAAGACAGAAACACGCAAGTCAGAGAGCAAGTTAGCCACAAATTCATCCATGTTTTTATCTGAACTTCCACCTTCATCAACTGCCCTCTTAGCCAAATTCTTCCACTTGATTGCATTCTTCGTAATCTCTTTGCCCTTTTCTCCTTCTATTAGTAATTCCTTTATGCATTGCTCTATGACCGTTCTTCTCACAATACCTTTCTCATCAGGGCGAGCTCTAATCCCAATTCCCCATACATCCTCGACATACTTTGCATTTGTGCCTTGGTCCGTCCATTGAGGCATTGCCAGCATTGGAACTCCTAGACTCAATGCTTCAAGAACGGAATTAAAGCCGCAATGGGTAAGAAAACAACCTATTGACTCGTGAGACAGCACCTCCAATTGAGGGGACCAGGTCACCACCAAACCCTTCTCTGAGGTCTCCTCTATGAAATTGTTTGGCAGCTTGGCCTCCTCTGTTTCCCTCACAACCCATAAGAAGTAGTAATTGCTGCCTTTCAAAGCCCAAGCTAGCTCTGCCATTTGCTCAGCTTCTAGTAATGCAAAGCTTCCAAATGACGCGTAGATCACTGAACCCTTCGGCTTGCCATTTAGCCAACTCATGCAAGCACCAGTGTTGGGCTTGAAGAGATTCATACCATAGTCTTTGTCGTTTCCGAGTCTTCTGTCCAAGTACACAGATGGGATAGTTGGTCCTATCGTCATCACCTTCCAGAATTTTGACATCCAATGCACCACCTAATAAAAAAATCCACAAGGGCAAAATTAATCAGCTTTTAGGATCCATCTAGTAATCGATGAATCAGTATTAAAAATGAAAAATGCACTGCACCTCTTTCTCCAATTCGTAGAAAATGTTAAAAAACATCCAATCAGCTCCATCAACGTTGGAAAACTGATCCACAACCACGTCAAACCAAGCCGGATACGATCCATAAAGACAAACCAAAGATGGTAACTCTGAAACTTGAAGCGAAGGCAATCCAGGAAGATAAACATTAGGCCCTGGGAGAGGCAGCTGAAGAAGTCCCCTGCTAACATGGTAATAGACGCTGTTGACAGCACAAGATTGAGTGAAAAACACTGCCGAGGGTATTCCAAACTGCTTTGCAACATCAAGTGCCCAAGGCAAAAACCCATCATAGACAAGGGCATGAATAGGATAACCAGTATCAACAAGCTTCTTGATTAAACTTGTCAAACTCGTAGAGCCTACGGAACGGAAAGTTGGCACGTAGACATCAGCGCTGCCAGCCTGACCATAGCCACCTTCATCAAAGCCATCGGATATGGTGCGGAGATCAATAGAGGCGGCGGATGGGTCGGAAAACAAGGACTTGGAGAGGAAGATGGTGGTGACTAGAGTGACTTTGACGCCTTTGGAGACTAAGCGTTTAGCGAATTGGAGCATGGGGTTTATGTGACCTTGGCCAGGGTAAGGAAAGATTAAAACATGAGGTTTTCTGGCTTTGTTTTCCTCCCCCATTATATCTGTGTTTTGCTCACTGTGAAGCGTTCACCACTCTCGTTTTGCCCTGCTACTGCCCTCTATAAAAGATCGTACCATAATTTTATAGCGATTATGCCATGTACAACCGCACGTCTGCAACCACTAGTCCACTACATAACCACTTATAGTAGTTTATTATATTTTGAGCTCGACCTTCAATGAGAAACGGTTTTGTCTTAATAAGTTTTATTTGTTTTTTACAAGAAACCTAATTACTGAAGTTGATTAATTTTTTTTTTTTAATTTCATCCTCACTGTTCTTTTTTTATTTAAAAAACAGAAAGCCGAACAAGAACTATAGCTTTGGCAAAACTAGTACAATGGCAACTCACCCAGCAAGCAATCATGCACCCATCTAAAAACCCATCGTGATCTGCCTGGGTGAGGAAAACCTTCCAGGAATCTTCCTCTTCCAAGCACGTAACAAGCTGAGCTTCTATGAATGGACAAAGTAATCTCCAAACATTTCTCTACTGAAATCACATTTGAATAGCACATGATGCCAAGATTCTCCAGACTTTCCACGAATACTATAGGCATCTGTCACATAAAGTTCTCATCATTCGAACTTGGAGCTGTTGGTAATCAGATCCCCGTCCTCGTCCTTTCGAATTTATTTATTTATTTATTTTAACAAAAAAAAAAAAAAAACTAAAATTTGGTAGGAGATTTGTCATACTTAAACTTATACAAACACATCAAATGACTCATATATATATATATATATTTGATGTAATTCGAGCTTAAAAATTTAAGTTATTAAATTTTTAAATTTGTTATGTATATATAGAATATCTCTTCAAATTTTTTAATAATGTAAAATTTTTTATTCACATATGAACTTTATCTTATCAGATTTAGAATTAAAGAAAAAAAAAAAGTCATGGATAAGAAAGGCAATCTAATTCATACCTTAGGAGTTCCGATCTGATCTAATATTTTATGATCAATTTTTTTTAAAAAAAATTGGGTATCGGATCGAGTCAGTTTGGATAATAATGAAAAAAATTGAGATAAGGTTTTAGGCAAATTTGACTTGACCCGACCCAAAATATATAAAAATTATTTTTAATTATTTATTTAATTTTATATTTATATTAAAAAATAATATTTTATATTTTATAAGTAATATTTTATTAATTTCAAGTCAAATCGAATACAATTTTATATAATATCAGGTCGGATCAGATTCAAGTATAAAAAAATTAAAAAAATTATTGAGTCAGGTTGAATTCAGATTTTATATATATACAATAGAATCGAATTCGGGATAAGCAAAAATCCATTCCAACTCATCCATTACCATCCCTATTCATCGATGCCAATCAATAGAAAAAATCTCATTACAAATTAAACATACTCCTTCAAATTAGTATCCTGGTGACCATCGAACATTCATGGCTGAAATGCAAGCAACTTGGAAGAATCACATAATTTTAATGACATATAGCTGCATTTACTACAACGAAGATTAAAATTTTTTTTGCTAAGCTTTAGGACTGGAACTGGAATATATGACCCTGGCAATGAACTCATCAATGCTTTTGTCAGAACTCCGTCTTCATGCACTGCTTTTCTAGCCAATTTCTTCCATTTATCAGAGTTTCTTCTCATCTCTTCACCTCTCTCTCCTTCCATGATCTCCCTTATGCCATGTTCTATCGCTTCCCTTCTCACAATCCCTTCCTCATCAGCTGGAGCTTTAAGCCCCATTTTCCAAACGTCCATGATGTACTTAGCGTTGGTGCTTTGATCAGTCCATTGGGGACTCCTATCATTGGGACACCCAAACTCAGCTTCCAAAGTAGAATTCCACCCACAATGTGTAACGAAACACCCTGTCGCTTCATGCTGTAAAACCTCTAGTTGTGGACACCATGTTACCACCAAGCCTTTCTCAGATGTCTCCTCCACGAAATTGTTGGGCAGTTTTGCTTCTTCGGATGCCCTTACTACCCATAAGAAATGGCTTTTTCACCCTTTTAAACCCCACGCTACTTCTTCCATTTGCTCAGCTTCTAGAACTGCCAAGCTCCCGAACGAAACATAAACAACGGATTGTTTTGGCCTTCCATTTAGCCATTTCATGCAAGCATCAATGTTTGGCCTGAAGATACTAAAACCATAGACTTTATCGTCCTGCAGTCGCTTATCTAAGAACATAGATGGTATGGTTGGCCCAATTGTCCTCAAAGGCCAGATCTTTGCCAGGCAATCAGTCTCCTGCAAGAAAATTCATGACAGAAATTATACGTTATTGAAACTTAAGTTTTGACAAACAGTCAAAGTTACAGTTGACTTACGTAGTTCTTTCTCCAACTCGTAGAATGTGTTAAGATGTGCCAAATCTGCTTTGTCAATATTGGCAAACTGGTTCAGAACCATTTCAAAGAAAGCAGGGTATGACCCCAAGTCGGAAATGAACGAAGACATGTCCTGGTTTTTAAGTGGAGGCAATCCAGGCACCAAAACTTCAGGAACTGTGAAAGGAAGCTTGACAAAGCCCTCATATATATGGTAATGTATGCTGCCAACAGCATTAGATTGAGTGAAAAACACAGCACCAATCAAGCCAAACTTCTTGGCAACATCTAGACCCCAAGGCAAGAAAGAATCATAGACTATGCTATTTAAGGGGCAGCCTGATGATGCATTCAACTTCTCAACAAGCTGTACAAGAGTTTTGAGGGCCAACCTGCCAGAAGCGCTCTAGGTAGGCCTCAACACTTTCTGCATCAGCAATACCGCATCATCACAGCCATCGGATGTGGGTTCAAGCGCAATGGAACTACATGCTGCTGATCTGTGTATGTTCTTGAGCATGGACTGAGGAGTGGCCAATGTGGCTTTGAGTCCTTTGTGTTCTAAACGCTTAGAGAATTGGAGCATAGGATTCAAGTGGCCTAGGGTTGCGTACGATAAAACCAAACAGTGAGCTTTATGGGAGGCTCCTTCTGCATTCTGCATTTTTTTGGTTTGCACGGTCTCGAGCTACCTCTATGGTTTACGGGAACAGCGCACGACTCTAGCCAATGGACGAGTAGTTGGCTGTGCCTTAGCAAAGAAAAGTCTGTCCAGACAGTGGCAAAGCGGAGCAGTTCCGGCACGATCACAAAAACTGGCATTGCACTTAGTACCAAGAGCAGCAGGGTAGTTGTTGGGTCCAAAAACAAAAAATATGCTACCAGTTAAAGGTTGTGCCCACCATTGTAACGTTATTGGGACTATATTGTCGACAAGATGGAAGAAATAAATAATTAGTGATTGTCTTTTAGATTTAGGGATTTTATCGCTAGATATTGACTTAAGTATCACCATCAATATTTTTTTGTTTATGTGCCATCGGTTATTTAAGAAATATCCTTTCAAAGCACACCTAAGTTTAAGGGTTCCTAAAATAATAGGTTCGGATCTACTAACCACAACAGGGTTTGGGAGTTCGGTTACGAGTGAGGAAGTTTGTAGCACCTTCACAACACCCATCGAAAGATAGTATTAGCTCAATTTTGTGTTATCCGATAAGCCTTAAAAATTTTACAAAGTAATTAATTATTAGAAATTACTTTTAATTAACTCCAATACTTTTGACAGAAAATCAACAAAATCCCCTCACCTTAACAGTATACAAAAAAACTATTGTTTCACTTGCAGAGACTCCATCATCGGATTATTTAGCATTTAAAAATTTTTCAAAAAAAAAGAAATAAAATAAAATAAAATAAAAAAGAGGAATAACAATTCGACTCTTGATATAAATCTTTTTTTTATTTTACAAAAAAAAAAAACTCATTACTTTTTTTCAAGGAAAATTGATACTTTCAACTTTTCTTTAAAATGTTTTTCTTGATATTTTTTATTTTTAAGAAAATTGACACTTTCAATTTTTTCTCAAAATAATTTTTTTATTTTAATTTAAAAAAAATTGATACTTTCGACTTTTCCTCAAAATACTTTTTAAAAATTTTTATTTTAGAAATTTTATTTTCAAGAAAAATTGATACTTTCAACTTTTCTCTAAAAATATTTTTTATACCTTTTTATTTTCAAGGGAAATTGATACTTTCAACTTTTTTCCAAAAACATATTTTTTTTTATTTTTGTGTTCAAAGAAAATTGATACATTCAACTTTCCTTCAAAAATATTTTTTAAAATTTTATTTTCAAAAAAATTGATACTTTCAACTTTTCCTTAAAAATATATTTTTTAAAAATTTTATTTTAGGAAAATAAAATAAAATTAAATTAAATTAAATTAAAATTTAAAAATTAAGGAATACCAAATAATTTTAATTTAAAAATAATAATTATAATACATAAATAAATAAACCCTGGAATGGCTCGGTTCGGTGTGGATTCGGCTTAGCTTGAGAGACTGAAACAGATGGACGGCTTGATATGCAGCTTGTCTCGACTAAACTAATGGCAGGGGCAATGGTCAGTGAACTCGGGTTGGGGCTATAGGTCGGGCCGTATCTTGACAAAACGCACGGATCTTATTTAAGTGTTAACTCAAAATGACATCATTTAGCTTGCGTATAAAAGGGAATAATTTTTTCTTTCCTCAGATGTTTCCTCGTGTTTTCTCTCTCTTCTCTATTTTTTCTCTCTCTAGGTGATTTTCGATCACCGTTTATGGTTGAATTCATCGAGAAAATTATCTGTTTCTGGGTTATATAACCAAAAACTGGATTTCTCATCGGACAGTCACCAAAAAACTTGAATTTTCGTCAGAAATTCACTAGATTCTGAAAATTTCTAAAAATTTTCAAAAACAACAAAGCTAAAAATTTTAAAAATCTTTTAAAATTCCTAAGATTGCTAAACACTCTTTCTTTGCTTCTGTTTCTCTCTCTTTTCTTTTTGTCTATACTTTTTGTGTGTTTTTCTGTGTGATCTATGGATCTATTTATAAGCTTTAAAATAACTGACTCCAAAGCTGAATAGGAATCCCAATTTCTTCTAGACTTTTAGTCTTGTTTAATCTTTTCCAGTTTATCTCAAACTCTTCAATCCCAGTTTTACACCAATTCAACCACTTTTTTTTGTTTTTTCATTTTTATTATTATTTTTTAATTAATTAACAAAATCAAAGACA